ATTTCCATATTTTGAACCTGATTTAAATATTGATATAATATACCCTGTTTTCCAATGTTTTGGATAAAAACCAGTACATAATATACTATTAAACCGTTTTACATAACATAGAAGCACAATTTTCTCACTACATTTGAACTTTTCTATTTCAATATACGTTTTGGTCTTTCTTCTGATATGCAAAGCCTACTAATGAGTTCCATTGCAAATTATCGCATTTTATACAGTGCAAATTGGATTGAACTGACAATGCCAAACATACGTCAATCACATTCATTGCATTTTCATTATCATTATCAAAATGCACACTGATAAAGTGAAGTATTGGCACTTATGGCTAATGAGTTACATTGCAATAGCATTTTAAACAGTGTAACATAAATGAAACTCACAAAGCTAAACATACGCCAAATAAAGTCATTGTATTTTCAGCATCATTATCAAACATGTTCACTGATATTTTGAAGTATTGACACTTTTTACATGCATTACATTCATAAAAACATTAAACATAAACACAGACCGGACGTGGCAGGGTATTTATCCATCCCTTATCCCTTACAACAAAAAGGACGTTAAGTACAGATCTGAGAGTACTCGTAGTTACTGACAGCTAGTTCAAAGCCAATAACAACTAATAAATAAAAATCATAAACACCGTAAGATGGTACCAGAGGAACATCACCGTCCAAAAAAGGAAAATTAACAATAGGGAATTTCAACAAAAAATCAAATCATCCCTTTTGTCGTAAATGTGTGTGATGAGTTTCTGGTTTAAAACTGATATATCTAAATCTGGGAACGGACACTATTACTGTTAATTTTTGATTTATTTAAAGTAAGTTCCTGTGGGTAAATTTCGGCAGTATATTTAGAGAATATTTGATTATTTAACGAAAAAAAATATCATCAAGATAACGCTTAGTATTGTTGAATTTATCAATTAAATGGAATTAAGACGGGTCATACTGAGTTTGGCTATAAACTGTAATTCATAACAATACAGGAACATGTTTGTTATTAAAGGGGCACAATTGGTGCCCATAGGAATACCTACAATCTGTCGATAAACTTTATCGCTGAAACGTAAATAAATAATGTTCATATGTTTTATTACAAAAATTAATATTCAGTTATTTGATGGTAGTTAAGGAACTCGTTAAAAGCACTGAAATTTTAGAAGTAGAAGACTTACTAGAGGCCGAATTGAAACAATATTTTACGGTTTTTTTGTGTATTTTAAGTAAACAATACATAGTGGAGCTGAGCTGTGATTATTTACATGATTATTTACTATATGACTCTCTGTGGAGCGTACGGCCTTGAATGTAGTTGGATGTATAATTTCATTCTTAAGAATTTCCGTGTAGTATTTACGTCATACCCATCTGTAGTGTTTCCTACAGGAGGTTTTGGGGTGGTATGGCGCCTTGTCGTTATTTCTTGACGCCTGTCCTTTTTAGAAAAAAAAAGTTGGCGCCATGTCCGTTTCCCGTCATGATTATAAAAAGGTATGAAAAAAATACCGAACTCAGTGGTAAATTAAAAAAAGGGGAAGTCCATCAAAAATGACAAAATCAAACGTTATCAACCAACTGAACAAGTGAAAAACAACTGTCATATTACTGACTAGGTACAGGCATTTTTCCGAAGAAAATGCCGGGTTTATGGCTAGCTTAATCTACCACTTGTATGACTGCTGTTAAAAGATCCGTTATGTTGACAATATGAGATGAGCACCCCAAACATACATATGTTTCATGGAGAGTTATTTCATTGTCAATAATACCACATTTTCTTATTTTCATATAACAGTTTAATGTGAAATAGTTGGGATCTAGCAGCCAAATCTTGGTAAACATACATCACAGACATACAACACAACTAATTAAAAATTCCAAAAAAAACATGAAAAAATCTAACAAAGACGCTAACAAAAACGTTACTGTATATATAGTAAATTTAACAAAGACGCTAGCATATATTTTTAAATTTTCAAATGATATTTTCATCAATATACATGTATGATTTTAAAAAATCAAACAAATCTTGCAATTAATTTCCATGGTGCCATATTCCTTGATCCCTGATATCAAACAGTTATTGCACTTTTAATATTGGCCGTGTTTAGTCGAAGACTTTTTTTATTGTAAGAGTTATCTCTCTAAATATTGTTCTTCTTGTTCGTGTATCTCCTCCGTAACCTAAAAAGATAACGACATAATTCTTTTTCTGATTTGTTCGTTACATCCTCATAAACTTTTGGCCAATTTGGATCGAAGCGATTTATTGACATCTTGTAGAAGTTATTTACCTTAACCAATTAAATTTGTCGTTATGTTTTGTTTAACCTAGAGTCTTTTTATTTAAGTCCTCGGGTCCTAACTTAGAAATGAGGTCAAGGTCATGTTCTAAATTTTGACATTCACTTCATCTCGCTTCTACTCGGTAAGAGTTACAGATATCGACAAAAAAATAACCAAAAATGTAAGTCGTGACATGTTATAACTGGAAACTTTGCAGCTATCATGATGCATACATGCATCTTATCTCAGTCAATCCACCAAGATCAACCACCACCGACCAGCCCCTCTTTTTTGCCAACTGTGTTTTTTTTTAGGAATAAAAATACTATGAAATAAAAATCGCCTTCAGTCCCGTGCATTTCACTGTAAAAATGCAACCCGTCTTATGTATAAACTTCTGAAATAGAAATCCATCCCTACAAAAATCTGCTGCAATTCAAGTATTTTTCAAAAAATAATCGATACACGTTTTGTTAAATTACTATAACTGAAGCATTTTGTTTGGCATGCAATGAATGAAATCACTTCAACTGTAAAAAAAAACAAGCCAATATAATCCCGTTAGACGATATAAATACACGTGCAGTTCGAATGACGCCCTGACCTTGACTGAACAATTATAATCAATGACATAGAAATCTCTCCCAAGTTCGTAAATATAAGTGAAATCCTACAATCAAATTTCTAAACATGCATTAAAATACAAATCCGTGCCCCCGTAAACATGTGTACGAAAAAAAGCATAAACGATCAGACATCAATTGCCTGTAAAAATATAAAGTCAATAGTTATCGTGTTACTTCATCAATACATATGCATGTGCTCTGTTCACGGTCTCCCGTAAAAAGGAATTTATAAATAAGTCCAAACATATATCAACGAGCCTCGATATTGTGACGTCACAAACAGCACCGCGCGCGCGGATCTAAATTTAGAATAAAACATTCAACGTTAAAATATAGAAAGCGGAACTAAAAGTCAAAATAAAATACAGTTTTCCTACAAATTCAAACAAAATGCACACACAACAAATAAATAAAATATGAAGTCCGAGGTTGCGTCAAAAATAGGGAAAATTTTTAAAAGGAAGATGCCAGGATTATTTTTATTAGAGCATCCAGGATGACCGTTTGGATGTGCGAGATGTATAAATACGCAGCAATGTTCGGTCAGAATATGCATCGCATAGAAAAAGTGCAATGCAAAAATGAATGACTCAACCAACCAATCAATCAACCAATCAACCAATCAGCCAATCAATCATGTTTCGGGGGATTGATTTGCATTTAAAACTAGATTTTTTTATTTTGTTTTATCAGGCTAATAAAACAGCTGATGGCGGTAACATGTAATTTGCTCAGAAAAAGACAATTAAAGCTAGGAATTTGATAATCATAACTGTCATACTTTGTGCCGTATGCCTTGCAGTATTTATATAGTAGGGGCTCTGCAGGATTTTTGACGTAATTGCAGAATACTTAAACTATACATTATATAAGAAGATTATTTTAAGCAAAACTGAAAAAAAAATGGCAGGAAAAAAGGTGTTTTGGATGGTTAAGGTTGAGTCATTAACCTGTTGAAATAAAATGTTTATCTGCAACTTTTTAACATACCTAAATTGCAGCATTATCGTATATATAAGCAGATTTTATATGACAAATATATCCTTTGAAAATTGATTGTAAGACATGTAAGTCTTTAACAAACAAAAAAACACTGAAACTGTTAGAAATGGATGATGAAGACTGACAGCTTTAATTTGATGGAATATGTTCGGCTAAACATTGCTTATTCGACGTGCAAAAGCATTAATGAATCTATAATTGGAATTTGTACTTGTGTCATTTTAACTGTTCAATATAAAAATACTTTTTGTACATAGTACTGTATTGCTTTTATTTTTATACGGCCAGCCACAAACATAGAAGACTTGTGATATACATTTGAATGTGATCAACTTAGTATCGTTATTTTCTTTTAGTAGGTTATTATTGTTATCAAAGATAGCATGCAAAGCAGCATTCTTGTTTCAAACAGCCATATGCAGATATAAAGCATATATAGTTTGGCACTTTTAATGAGACTTGACTATCGCTTGTAAACTACGCGTTACATATCAATAAACCACTCTTGAGATTTTTTAATTTTCTTTCATTTTTGTTGCATTTTAACTATTTGAAAATAAAATGACCACACCCTTTTGCAAGATAACCTTTCATTGCTGATATTTAAAAATTCCTGATCAATTACCCATTTTACCTTTTGATCACTGAACTCTAGTTTCCACTTTACCTGTTACATGTGGTAATTTCATACTTTTCGTGTCTAATTTGTTTTACATTGAACAAGCTGTTGTTGAACAATGTCAGTAATAATATTCTGTGTATTATCCCTTTACGACCATTTCAAATTTGCTAAAATTTGATTTAGGTCCAGAATAAGATTTAAATACTTGCCACTGGCCATTATTCAAATTGCAAGAAATTAATCAACAATGTAGTAATAATATGAACAGCCTGAAATTTAGGTAGACCGAGGAACAAATGTTAGCTGTTCATGCTATTGTAAAGAAAATGATTAATAAATAGTTGTATAAAAATAACTGTGAGGTCCAAGAACTCCTTATTGTATCATATAATAATACGGGTTTAGCTGTGTGATCAAAAATGTGCATTAGATCGGAAATAGTAGGTTTATAATTAGTAAAATATTTAGTTTATTTAAAGAAAGCTTTTAAACCTTTTCTATTTAACATATTTTTGGCTAAGCATAAATATTTATATATCTGTGCTAATGGCACGTGGTTCCTGTATCAACTTATTTGGCAGGTTCGAGAAAATCAAGTTATATGAGTAAAATGGGTTTTTTCACCTGGATTGTTTACAACATAGTACGACAACTGTTGGCACAGAACGTATACGTAAAATGAGCGAGAAAAATCAAGGTAAGTCATTAGAAAATGTGGATACACTTATTTGGTGATTGTTCTAGGAGAGATAATAACACTCAATTTCATTAATTTTAAGGTCATACTAATAATATGTTATATGCATGTAATGGAATAGTGAATGGAAACTGGGAATGTGTGTCAAAGAGACAACAACCCTACCAAAGAGGAAAAATAGCCAAATGCCACCAATGGGTCTTCTATGCAGCGAGTAAATCTCGGAGGCGTGCTTCAGCTGGCCTCTAAACAATAATGTATAATAGTTCAGCAAAATATACAAAAAAACATATTTATATTGATTAGCGTTCATTCGAAGTTATTTACATGATCAACTAGAAGAATATTATCATGGTTAAATATATAATATGTAAACTGAAAAGGTTATACATTCAAAATTATTTGTTGAAAATAAAAGTAAATAGTTTCTGTAAATTTTGTATACATATACATTGTACAGTAGTTTATTTGTCATGGCATTCAACCAAGGCATAACTGTTTATTGTATGGTGTTTATGTTAACAAGGTCATGCTGGTGTGTGCGGAGTGAGGCGGGATTTCACAATAATAATAAATAATAATAACGCGGAAGTGTGTGTGTTGTTTTTTTTTAAAGAAAAATCCCACTACTTCCTTTCCAATTGTTCGAACCAGCTAGTTGACTTGCGCCGGTAAATTTAAAAAAAGATAATCGTATTTCCGAAAGGAAGTTTTAATGATATATCAGATTTAAAAAATTTATATAAATGTCGAATGAATTTTGAAATTGCAAAATTGAATAAAAGTTACTAGTTTAAACCACCCAATACATAAGCTAATCAAATCAAACAATACTTATGGAACAACATATAAAAAGATGTAATCTTAATAATGTCATACAAGAATATGATAAAACATTTTTTGATAGGTGGTGCACTATTTTGTCTTTCCTGTTACCATGTTCAAAAGAAATTTGAAGTTATTTAGAAAAGGTTTCGATAAAATTTCAAGCTTGGTTTTTATTGCCAATACGATGGTCTTCAAAAATAAAAATTTGTATATATTTTCATTCTGTGTAATGATAGATTATTTGTCAGTTTTCACTGTTTTACTGAAAAATACCTATAAAAATTGGTTTTCAAATATTATAACAATAACCACCAGTAACGCAAGTCTAAGACTGCAATTCAAAATATTCAACATTTTTTTCTCTTTCTAATAAACCCAACATCAAGTAATTCCCTCGCATCCTGGTTTACTTTTGTCGTTTTGTTTTTGATAACAGGAATGTACGTTGACGATATATCACCATATTAGGTTCTATCCTGTTACTCGTTTTGTCCATCATGTGACCGATAGCAGTATTGCATTTTGTATGTGCTAAATTGCGATTATTAAGACGTGGTGACCGTTAAATGAGTTCAAACAACCAAACATTTCAATATGTGTAAAATTATTTATCACGACAATGTCATCTATTTTTATAAGAACTAGTGTTGCTTATGTCAATTTCTAGCATTTTTGGAAAGCATGATTCTTACATGGGTAATAATAATGTGAAATGACCAGCCTTGGCTTAATATAACATGCTTTGAATGCATGTGTATTTATTTTTTTTCTTACCAAAACATGTTAAATATAAACATACGTTTGTGATCATCTCCCACTATGCAGTGAGGAAAAGCTTTTTGAGAAATAGTAATATTGGCATTGTTGTCTTTTTTCATATGAACAACAAAGACAGTGTGTCCGTATGATATGCTTTTTTTTTTTTTGCTTTTCATCAACTTTCATTTGAAAGCAAGGAACTTTAAAGACTATATGACAAATAAAACATTATAAACTGGTTATGAGGGTACATGTACTAGCAAGTGTGTTGTCCCTGATATACCATATATATCTATTGCTCGAGGCCAAAGGGGATATTTAGATTTCTTTGAAAAAAATCTGTTTGTCGGTATAGTAAACACTTCATGAATGGTTATAAGGATAATAGCAGTACATAATAAACTGTTTGATCAGAGGATCAATATATACAGATGCATGACTTAACCTAATTTTTTTATATAAGATGTACAAAACGGACAAAAAATTCTAAATGTTGGGCATATCGTGTACAAATTTGAAATATATTTCTTTATTGTGAAGTTTGCTTAATTTTTTGACTAGCTTATATATCTTAAAACTGCCTTATGAACCGAACGACAACCGATTTTCACAAGGGAACTCTATAGTATAATATAATAAAACAAACTTGTTATTCTGAGACTGATTACTTGAAGGATAATCTAACAAATGATAACGTTTAAAACTTGGAGCTGGAGTCAACATATAGTCTTCGACAATAGCCAAGTGTCTATGCAATAGGTTAAGCTTTACATCGCACCGAGTCAAACAATATGAAATTGATAACAGAAAATTTTAACTGGTGCGGAAATAATTGTTTTTTCCTTATATGTCCTTTAAGAATTTCACAACAATTGTAGGAAATACTCAAACATTTAAATTTGTTTGATTTGAACAAAATAAAACCACATGGCAGAAAAACAATCGAAATCAGGAGATAGAACCTATTGTAGACGGAAATGTTAAATGAATGACAAAAATAGAATTCAATAATGATACATAAAAGCCAAGTATTGAGTACAGATGTATTAACTCAAGCTTTTAACAAAACAGACACCAAAGCTTTAATAGCTATCTGAAATAATGAAGAGCCAATTATTGTTGTAACATTCATTAATATGTCCGCCTACGATAAGGAGTTCTTGGACCTCACAGTTATTTTTATATCACCATTACTCGTTTTCTTTACAATAGCGTGACAAGTTTAAACTTGTTCCTAGGGCTACTCGAATTTCAGGCTGTTCATATTATTACTTCTTTATTGATTAATTTCTTGCAAGTTGAATAATGACCAGTGGCAAGTATTAAAATCTAATTCTGAACCTAAATCAATTTAAAGCAATCTTGAAATGGTCGTAAAGGAATAAAGCACAGAATATTTTGACTGACATTGTTCAACAACAGCTTGTTCAATGTAAAAAAATTGGACACGAAAAGAAGATATGAAATTACCACATGCAACAAAATTTCTGCTATCTTCTCTGCATTAGTACCATTTATAAAAGTTTCCAGCGCTGTGAAACGTTTAATGGGGAAAACAAAATACAGTGATTTTATGTGAAATGGAAACAAGAGTAAGTAATAAAAAGGTAAAATGAGTGATTTATTAGGAACCTTTGAATGAAAGCATTAAAGGATTATCTTGCAAATTGGTGTGTTAATTCTATTTTCAAATAGTTAAAATGCAACAAAAGTAAAAGAAAATTAAAAAATCTAAAGAGTGGTTTATTGATAATATGTAACAAGTAGTTTACCAGCAATAGTCAAGTCTAAATCAAAAAGCCAACTATATATGCTTTATATCTGTATATGGCTGTTTGAAACGTGACTACTGCTTTGCATGCTATCTTTGATAACAATAATAACCTACAGAAAGCAAAACGAGACCATGTTGATCACATTCAAATATATAAAAGATATATATATCACAAGCCTTCTATTGTTGTGGCTGGTCGTATAAAAAAGAAAAAACAATGCACGTATCAAAAAAAGTATTTTTATATTGAACAGTTAAAATGATACGAATACAAGTTCCACTTGTAGATTCCTTTTATGCTTTTGAACAAGCTCAGCGAATAAGCAATGTTTAGCCAAACAATTTCCATCAAATTAAAGCTGTCAGTCTTCATCAGAGGGCATGATTTTTCATTTCTAACAGATGCAGTACATTTTTTGATTCAGTTATGCTGGATCTATGTGATCGCTCTGGATTTTGAGATGGTGCAGAACTTTTAAGTTGAAGACATTTCATAAAACTAATTATATGTTTTAATTACTTGCAGAAACTTTATACACCATTTTAATCACCTACTGCCAACTTTTGACATATTATTTGCGCTTAAATTCAGAAAATATTGGCCAAACAGCTGCTGCATTTTAGACATACACTTGCATACAGTTCCTTTGTAAATCATAACTTATAATAAATTACTGCTTATGAATAATTGTAAACAGAAGTAATATATCAAATTAAACGGTTGATAAGAATAATGAAAATATCTTATCAGTAACTTATGCTTGTTTAAGTTATTGAATACAATTTGGTACAATATGTGTATTGATATCAAAGTTGAATCCCAAGCTTTTTTTTTAAATACTGATATTCTAATTCTTTCCTTACTCAAGTAGGAGTACTGATACAATACAATATGATAGACATCTGTCATTATTTTCATACCTATGTTTAAACATAGACATACTCCCAAAAGCAACCATTTACATGTAAATTTAGTACGACAAGCTTGTTTTATCAACTGAAAAAAACCCTAAAAAAACAGTTATACTTCTGAATTTAATGGAAGAGTGGTATATCAAGTGGTTTATTTTATTCACCACGATACCTGACATTATGATTTGAAATTATACACACAACTCCTCCAGTCTTTCCATCATTTATTTCGATTATGTGATTGTCAGAAGTACCTCAAAAGAAGTACATTTTTTTTCTGAGAATTTCATGAGCTGCAAGGGGTGATTTTGAAAAGGAAAACAAAACACTGGTAATTTTTTTAGTGAAATAATTATGAAAATGATGACGTTTTAGATTTCAATCTTTGTGTGTCTGGTTTTTTTTTTTTTTTTTTCTTTTCAGTCCCTTGGTTTCTTCTCTGAGATGAAAGTCCTGTTTGTATTCTGAATGAAGTAACAACTGATGAGTTATTCATATAGTTAAACCCTTGTAGGATAAACTGATCATGTCAATGATCTAATTCAAAATTTCCCATAGAAACGGGAAGATGGGTACCAAAAATGACCGAACTTGTCATTTATGTGGAAATGGAATAGGAGATGAATTTCATTATCTATTCAATTGTAAAAAACAGGAAACGAAAAACATTAGAAATAAATACATACCACAATATTAAACTGTAAATTCAAGGGAATACAAATTAAAACGGATTTTAATGTTTAATTTGTCATGTTGAACTTAACAAAAACTTGGTAATATTTAAAAAGAGAAAAAAAAACTTACCCAATATGTTTTTTTTTTTTTTTTTTCTTTTTTAGTTCAATGCTATGATAGTTTTTATGTAAATTAGAATTTGTTGTATTTTATCATCTAATCATTATTATGTTTTGTGTATATATTGATTATACAAATGTGTTTATGTTTCAGTGGTTGTCGTTTTTTTTATGTGGTTCTTAAGTGTTTCTCGTTTCTCGTTTTTTATATGGATTAGACCGTTGGTTTTCCTGTTTGAATTGTTTTACACTAGTTATTTTGGGGCCCTGTCTAGCTTGCCGTCCAGTGTGAGCAAAGGCTCCGTGTTGAAGGCCGTACTTTGACCTATAATTGTTTAATGTTTACACTTTATGACTTGAATGGAGAGTTGTATCATTGACACTCATACCACATCTTCTTATTTCTATGTGTATACAATTTTTATTATCGGCAATTTGTACATTTTCCTTTTGGTCTTACTGCCTAATATTTTTAAGATCATGGACGTACTTGATACTCGAAAATATCAGGCAATGACGTCACGTATCAGTGCAGAACGTGACGTGCTCAAGTCCATCCGCGTCAATTTATCAATGAAATGAACGCGACTTCATTTATACAACCGAACAACTATCCAAACGTTTTGTACGCGTAAAAGTAGTTTTACTAACTATTTCATCTTACTTTATATTCTCAACCCAAAAAAACGTACAGTTAAGACAAAATGCCGAAAAAAAGAATAATAGCGGGCTATCTTTTATATTCTTGCTGATGAAGTCAGTATCAAAAACAAAAATGTCATTATTCTATATTTATTGTCTTTTTGTTAGCCTATGTGTCTGAGGTATTGTTTATACTTTAAAAGATCCCGTCATTATGTTATTGTTCTATTATATGTCATTATGTTATTGTTCTATTAAAAATTTGAAAATACTTTGAACGACAAACGACAAATTTATTTTACTCCCGTAGTGGTATTAACCATATGTGGATTCTTAAAAATTCTAAAGAACTTCTGGACAATTTTAAATCTCGGTCTATTTCTGAAATTAATTCTAACATAACTTTTGATTTTTTAACCCTGTATACCAACATTCCACATGTGAAATTATAAAATTGTTTTGAATAAACATTGAATGACAAAATTTCTTCTTATGATTGATTGATTGATTGTTGGTTGCTTAACGTCCAGTGGCAAATATTTCATGCATATTCAGGACGAGAACAAGTTCACAATAAATACAATAAGTAGGTTGTGTAATAGGGGCTTCCGGGATTAAGGTCGGAGAAATTTAGACTGCCACGGGAAATGAGGGTATATTGGATAGGAACAGAAATTTAGCCTTGCAACAGGTCACCTACGGACCCCTCAAAGAGTTGTTGCAAGGGTTCTTAACGTGCAAAAAGCGTGGCACTCTCTTTACACGAGACATCGGATTTAACGTCCCCATTCTGACCGGACGTGGCTGCAAATTTGTACATCCCGCACAGCCAAACGGACGCCCAACTTTAGCAAGGGTTTTACTGCCGGTCGGAGGAAGACCAATGGTGACCATACTTCTATTCCCCAGTCACCCTTGGGGAAATTTCTTCTTATGTGACGTTTACATTTTCTGACGTCAGACACGCGAAGCAATGAATGTGGTTTTTAATTTGATAGATGCTTTTGTTCTTTTTTGTAAATAATTGTTTGTTTTGATATTGTAACACAGTGGTGACTGCTGAACCCATATTTTGACTATTTTATTTATAATGTCTGTTTTGTTCACGCATCGTTGTAAGTATAACGGAATTTGATAAGACTGTCGTACAAGTGAGAGGTTTAGCGCTATAAAACCAGGTTCAATCCACCATTTTCTACATTTGAAAATGCCTGTACCAAGTCAGGAATATGACAGTTGTTGTCCATTCGTTTGATGTGTTTTGTCATTTGATTTTGCCATGTGATTAGGGACTTTCCGATTGAATTTTCCTCGGAGTTCAGTATTTTTGTGATTTTACTTTTGTCTATTGTCCGACGTTTTTTAACATGCGGAGAATCCGACGAACGAGTTTTCGATTTGGCGTGGCCTTGTCAATATTTTGAAGTTTATTTTTTTAAATATTTGGTTATTATTATTAAATTTTAGACAAAACATCTCGATTGGTTTACAATTTTTTTCATTATCATTATTATACACAATTATAGAATGTATTTTTTTGTCCTTTGACTTTCAGTCCTACATTTTTGGGAACCACTGATCAAATCTGGACGTCATTCTTAATAAAATTGTGAAGTTACAACATTGAAAGCCTCTTAATGAATAATTAGCTATTAATCTCATGAATGAAACGTGTTATTTTCAGAGTTGTCAGACTGTTCACGGCATTCAAATAAGAACAAAAGACATATACAAAATTTAAGTTTTACAAATATGCTCCATTCTAAATGCGTTTAATATCTGTTTTGAAAGATAATACTAAAATGGCGCTCCAAATTTGATTTCACTGCGGTTTGAAGTTTAAATATCTAATTGGGATTTCTACTAAATCATGGGATTTTGGAGACTTATTATTACTTGTCCCAATCATCTTATCCTCAATAAAATTGCTTTTTGACGGAATGTTATATAGCTGATTTATTATAATATTGTTGTTTTATAGACGAGATTTATCCATCAGCACCTCCAGCTTATAATCAAGGACAACATTCGGGTAAGTTGTGAAACCTAATATTGGTGTAAAATTGTTCACAAAAAATTGAAAAAGAAATGTACGGAGTGCTTCTCAGTATCAGAAATAACGTCAATATAAGCAGTTATTGTTGATTGGGTCTTGAATAACCATACTATAATTTAATATCTTCTCCTGTCCGGGATATGTTTCCAATTTTATCTCATCGTGGCCAATCGAATTTTAGCCACATCATACGTCAACCAATCACAACCGATATGTGTTGACAAATAAGTTTAAAGTGGCGTTAATGTCGCATAATAGCCTTGCAACGTGATTTCAAGCAAATTAAAATTCACCCGATTCAAATTTAATACAGAGGAATGTACAAAAAGAATGTAGCCATTACATCAGCATTTGTAAAACAGAGTGTATTAAATTATTCAAATTTTATGAACAAATGAAGACATGATCAAAATATTCTTTATATGGCAACATTATTTGTTTCCATCGTTGTCGGAGTGCCCGTCGTCGTCATTAACTTTATAAAAAAAACCTGTCCTTTATAGCTTTCAATAGAATATATGAGTAAAATGCAAGTACTTGGCTCATATCATGATAGAAAATATTTGGGTGGGTCAAAAATATTTATTTTGAAAATAACTTATCAGACACAAAATTACTATTTAAAGGCAACATTCTATATTTTTTGGTGTATTGGCAATTATCTTGAAAAAATTGACGGGGAGAACTTCCAAAGGTACTTGGCGGACAGGACAGTCTTTCTTTCTCCTTTTTAGCTCACCTGACCCAACGAGAGAAAGCAAAAGGTTTTTGGAGTATCAATTGTTGAAGATGCAGATAGACATAGATAATAGACACAGGCTCTTTAGAGCCTCTAGTTTTCAAAATCCACTATTTTTTTGTTTTCAATTTTTTTTTAGTAGTTTACTACCATAAACAGATTGTTATTTCTAGTATACTTATGAAAGTCTAACGCAGAAAAGCAAGAAAATAATTGAATTTAAAAGAAAAAAAAAATACCGGATTTTGGAAAAAAAAGGGAGAGGACAAAACTAAAATGTCCCGTCCCCAAGTTCCTGTTGCAAACATAGTAATGATCACCCAGACAAGATTAAGACAAAAAAGTGAGTCACATGACCGGATGGCAAGAGCTGTTAATGACATTTTAACCCATTTTTGTGTTTCTTGCGAAAAACAACATTAAAAGTAGGTAGAGAGAAACTGTAGACTGTACGAAATCAGAAAAATAATATGTACAAATGATCCAATGTAACAAAAATAATTACTTGACTAGGAGTAAATGCCCCTCAATCATTTTATTTTGTGTTGCATACTAAAATCTTAAAAACTGTATTAAATTGAAAGCAACTTAAATAAAAAATGATCGTAAGTCGCTTACGTATTTTGCCTTTAAGGTCAAGGAACAGTAAAAGAGCTATGTCAGAGATTTTGGTAAAATTTTGCATACAACTTTGGCTCGTAGAATTATATCTGAAAATCGAAAACATAATGCCCTTACTCTTTTCATGTTCTGAAATATTACTGATTGCATTCTTTCAGAATATGTGAACATTTGTATAGAAAGCACATTAAATCGACAAAAACGTTTATAAATTTGTGTTAAAATCATCAAATTTCCAATTTCTAATACATAGAATTTTCTTAAAAAACTATATGTTGTTGATACATAAATTTCCTTTTTAATGATATGAAATAATCATATGGCCAACGACTTCGTTTTTAGTGTATTAACCAATCTTTTACCTTTTTGGTAATGAAAAAAACGTCAAGCATTGACGTTTTACGGCATACAACGCGATGACGATACGATTATTTCAACGTTTTGTGGTATTTTTTAACCTAGTACATTACTTCGATTGATGTATACCGTTAAAATGAACTCGGTGACCCTATTATAATTTTATATCATTAAAACGAAATATTTTGTACCACCAACATATAATATTTTTAGAAAAATCTAAGAATCAAAAATGGAAATTTTATGACTTTTAGTAAATTAAAGAACATTTTGCGCTCTAACATTTATGTGCTTTCTATACAAATGTTCACCTATTTTGAAAGAATTCAATCAGTTATATTTCAGAAAATAAAGAGATGATTGCCTTATTTTTAATTGTCTTCAATTAAAGTTAAACGAGCCTAAGATGTATGCCAAATTTTAAGAAAATCTGTGATATAGCTCATTTACTGTAACTGTCCATTCGTTTGATGTGTTTGTGCTTTTGATTTTGCCATTTGATAAGGGACTTTCCGTTTTGAATTTTCCTCGGAGTTCAGCATTTTTGTGATTTAACGTTTTTGGCCTTAAATCACAATCTATAATTTGTTTCAATTTTGCCTTTTATCTTGAAAATTATAATAGATAGAGAGGAGATTTGTCCAGCAAACATGTATTTTTTCTGGAAAATGTTTTGGTCCATAGAGTTTCCGTTCTAGACTTAATTTTTGTTGCATTCTTTTAATTTTATGCAAAAATTGTAAATAACCGAAGTAGGCTCCTTAGAACTTTGTAGTTAAGATAAAGTGAAGCAAACGGTATTGGGTTTGGAAGTTGCTTATTACTCCCAACAATATACTGCTATGACGTTAATATAATAACTGTAACATAAATATTTTGTTGCACCAAATAACCTTCAGTGATGATCGAGATCAAACTGTTAGAAAATATAAAATCTAATACGCCGTCGAGGATCTGATAAAACCAAAAAAAAAAAGTATAAACATTGAAAGCAAAACCCGGACAAGGAATCAGACCTACACATATTAAGGTATTTTCATATGTATTTCAGAAAATTGTCCAGCACAGAGTCCTCCATCATATTATGTTTCTAATGAACAACAAGGGCAACAGTATGGACAGTATTCTCAGGGGTATAGTCAACGCCATGGTTATGAACAGCCTCCGGCTCCACAAGGATACAGTCATGCAGCTGGATACCAACCCGTTCCTCAAACACAACATTATGGAAAACAACCGATGTATGGAGGTCAAGGACAGGGTGTTGTTGTAAGTTTAAAAGAATAAATATGAAAAGTAAAAAAGACTAAGTCAAATTGATTTAATACTTTATAATCTAATTAATGTTGTATCCAGAATGTTGAAACAATTTCCTTTCAATGATTTATGTTCAAACCCAACCCGAGAACACATTGTATGGGGTTAGGATTGGGTGAGGATCGGCCGGTTCTTGATTGTAATAGTACATTTGAGATGTGGTTGAGGAGTTTTCTCACTGATTGCAATATCTTTAGATTTCAAATTAAAGTTGTTATTCAAGATAACCGTCAATCCTCTCCCAACTTTATTACTTTTCCATCGAATAACCCTAAATGGTGACTATAAAATCATTTTGGCCAACGTATCACGTATTCATATACGTAGTGAGTACTTTTGTACTGACATGACACATTATTGATATGTTGTTTTTCTATACATTTACTGCTAATAAAATGTTGAATCATTCAAAACACTAAGATCTGTTTACACCAGGCATAGATTCCGTTTGCCGTATTTGGCACAACTTTTCGGAAATTTTGGTTTTTAATGCTCTTTAATTTCGTAATCGATTTGGTCTTTTACTTGTTTAGATTCGAACGCGCCTGATGAGTCTTATATAGACGATACGCAAGTCTGGCGTAGCAAAGTATAAGTCTGAAATCTTTGATGCGCTATTTGATCCCCCAAAAAGAAAGCAAGAAAACAAAGGAAAGAAAAAAAAAAAGGTATCAGTCATGAGAAAGTATTACGCTGTAAAGTAACTTGGTAAGTTGTTAAAGGAACAACTTTTCAGTCAAACACTTTTTTGTGGGGTTCGTATCTCTCAGTCTGTAGTATAATAGTGTTTCTGTACGTCTTCGTAATAATGACATTTGAGTGAGCCGTTGGTGCTGTTCATAAAAATATATTATGTTTTGTGACCAAACACCAAAGATCAAAGATGTAAGTAGGAATTATATATAGTCCGTTTTTATAAACAGTCTCAGTCTATATAGCTTATGTTTATTCAAGAGCTTGCTTTTTCTATCATGCTTTCCTTGACAAAGTATTTTTGTTTACAAGGAAGCTTTCGACACCAGGGTTCTTAGTTGTTTAGGTCAAGTTACAGTAAATGGGCTATGTCACAGATTTTGTTGAACTACTGCATACAACTTTGGCTCGTAGAACTTTAACTGAAAATCGGAAAATTTACCATCTATCCCTTTAATTTTCTGAAATAATACTGATTGAATTCTTTAAAAATGGGTGAAAATTTGTATATAATTTGATTTTGGATGTAACACGTTTTCTGATTGGCTGAACGTTTTTTGTCTATCAGCTCATAGACTTAATTTTGTCATGTGATCGTGGCGTAATCAACGCTTTTTCATGATTTACTCCTTAACAATGGAATTTAGAATTGAATTATAAGGAATGACTTTCTGTCTATTGCGAAATAACCTCAAACATGTGGTGCACACTTTTAAATAACACGCTACGCGGTTTATTTAGTGTACACCACATTTTTGATGTTATTTCTTCATAGACAGAAAAAATATTACAGTCATTCATTAAAGAAAGCACATAAAATTGGCTTAAACGGTCTTAAATTTGTCTTAAAATCATCAAATCTCCAATTTCAAATACATAGATTTTTCTTTTAAAACTATATGTTGTTGGTATATAAATTAACATTTTAATGGTGTAAAATAATAATAGGGTCACCGACTTCGTTTTCACGGTATATATCATTCAAAGTGGTGTTCTACGTGAAAAAATACCACAAAACGTCGAAATAATCATATTGTCGTCGCGTTGTAGGCCATAAAACGTCAATTTTGACGTTTGTCACTACCAACCAGTTAACAATTTGTTTAATACACAAAAAACGAAGTCCGTGACCATATGATTATTTTATATCATTAAAACGAAAATTTATGTATCAACAACACGAGTTGGTTAACCGTTATAAGAGTTATGGAATATCTGTGTCACAGATGACCACGGATATGTTTCAATTGTGGGTACCACACTTCCTTTTATTTTTATCAATTATGACATCACAGAATGATATTCTTATGAATTTTTGTTTTGATACCATGCGCAGCACGATTGGTGCCACATATGGAACAAATTTGTTTTTCTTAATCTTCAATGGCATTACATATATTACATAAATGAGTTTTAGTTATTTTCCAAGAGAAAAGTAATTGTTTGGTTCAATGGTAAAATGAAATGTAGAAATTTTCATCTCAACATTTATTATCGTGGATAAAGTTAAACTTTAAGTACACCATTTTATTTTATTTTCCTTGTATTGTCATATAAAATAAGATTTATGTCTCATTTCTGAAATCCTATTGCCTTCTTATAATATCCATCTAAAAGGGAAATGTAAATGTCTTTTGAGGACATTTTTTTAATTGATATCATTTTCCCTTCTCTATCTTGAAATTTAAATTCGGAGGCAGTAGCAACTTTTGTTTTAATTGATTCTTCTTTTGTTAGATCTTGTAACCACTGTTTAGTATTGCATTCATCAATTTTAGAATATTTCGAAAACCAATTAGTATGGCAAGATAGTTTATCTAAAATTATATATTGATTAATTTTTCCTTTATCATCAATTATGTCATTTACAAATAACATTTTAGTGTTTATCCAATTTCTGAAAATAAGACATTAACCAATTAATTTGATATATTTTTCCCCTATATTAGTTGCTGTCTCATATATTTATATGTTAGTCGATCTGATGCTTTTTCAGATTTTTAATTTATCCATGATCTGATAATTTTTAAGAAAAATTCTTGAACAATATCTTTTAGTTTACTAATCAAATTAGTATTGTTGAAGTTGGTTTTCTTAAATATAAGGAATTCTTTTCCAAATTTATCTAAATAAAATCAGGTAAGACTTTCCAATTGGGTGATTAGTCTTCATTGTCAATGAGTCTTTTTACCCAATTAATGGATTCTATGTATCGGTTAGTCTATGAAAAGTATATACTATAAAATTTAGAGCGAGGTGCTTGGCCCAAGCACTTAAGTTCATATTATATACCTTTTCATAGACTATCCAATTAAGCACATACTTACAACTCAAGTAATCTTTTAATTGGTCTATTCATAGTTTATTGTGGCTGACTACTTGTATCACAGGTGTTTGTAAAACGGAGATCATTAACGAAGTTTTATGTTTTGTTAATCTACTTACTAGTATCATAGTAAAAATTGTGATTTCAAAAGGTCCGTGGCTCCAGAATGAAAAGATGGTAGCTGCTAGTGTAAGTATGTATATTGATATAAAGCGGTGTTTTACTACATGTACTTCTTTACATGGTAAGATGACAAAATACATTGACCAAAAGCAGGCAATAATTAAATTGCTGTGGAAGCTTTACATGTTTTGAAAACATTTTTCAATTTCACAGTAAAACTAAAGCTATAATAAATTTGAAACATATAGATAGTATGTCTCCATAGATAGTCTAGCGGATATGCATTAAAAAGCAACTACCAATAGGTCAAGGATTATAGGTTTTGTGTATTTTTATTTCAAAGTAAAAACTAAAAGATTTATCCGAATATGTATATATATATGTAGGTGGCACATTCCCCCCTTCAGACATTATCATGTTTTTCAATTCATGACATCGTCCTGAACATGCATGAAATACTTGCCACTTGACATTAAGCAACAAACAATCAATCAATCAATCAATCAATTCATTAAGAAATAGATCAATTTCCTTAAGAAAGTTAAAAAAAGAATCATCAAGTTGCCTTAATTTCCCTTCACAAGGTTTCACAAGGTTTCACAGTACACACTTTTTTGTGTACAAAGTAATTGCATGGATGATTACCATAATTTTAAGATAGCGTTGTACTCTAATCAAGGTATTTAAGACCATATTTGTTACTCTTTATTTAAATAAAAAAAAAACTTGCAATTGTCAAAAACATTTTTTTAGATCCAAAGATTTTAATAGCACAATATTTAGATATCAATGTGAAAACTGACTACAAATTATTTAATTTAATTTGGAACGCAGCGTTTTATTTCAAAATAGCCAGTGGCAATTTTTGTTTAAATGTCTTGATTATGATACAATAACATCTTACCATTGTGGTCATTCATGCGTAGTTACTTAGTACACGGAAAAAGTATAAACTATGAAATTAGAAGGTAAATGCAAGCAATTTTATTGGACGAGAAGTTGTAAGTATGTGCCAAATATTTATCTATGTCTATCATTTGAAGTCCGGTAGCTTGATAATGTTTACTTATTATAACTCTTTTAACTTTTTTGGGTTAATTGTTCCATATAAAACTATATATTATTTTTTGTTTTTGATTTGCGAGGTATTCTTTATCACTCTCGGTTACTGATGCAATATAAGTGATATTTGGTAGGATTAATGATTTAACAAAAGTTATCTAACTTAGCTTTAGTTAGTTAATTTTCGTTTATTCTAGTCTTTAATTATTTTTCAGATAGTTCGTATTGTCTTTGCAAGTTTGATTTTTTACACTAAGTCCAAAATATATTCCCAATACTTTTATCGGTTCTTGTTTTCACTAAATGTTTTCAAACCTACCTTTACAGTACTTTAAACTTTCGAGCCATATCTCCTTTCTTTAAAATCTAAAAATGAAGTTGTGTTATCTACAAGATGGCTCAACTTTAAAGTATGGGTTTTATTATCTAGTTTAATTTGAAAAGTTTTTATCGTGTCTTAATCTACAGATTAAAATTTCAACAGCAATAATGAAAATTACAGAACTCGCGGGACACCCTTGACGGATCCCGCACTCAATGTTGAAAGGTCTTGAAATCCACCCAGGTTTTAATATGCAACCCTTTATATCTGTATATAAAGTATTTATCCACTTCAGTAAAGATTTCTCAGAGCCAAATTTCTTTATTTAAATAAATAAATTCCAATTCTAACAAGTCAAATGCCTATATATATAAAAAAAATCTATAAAAGAAAAAGAATTGCTCAATCTACGTTCATTATTTTTTTTGAATAGTCCATAACAAAATCTACTTTCCCTTCCGGAACCCATGAGATCACTTCGGTTTTTGGTCCGGTTTAATTTTCGAAATTTTTATTTTTTCATTATAGTGTTTTGTAGACTGTTGTTTGTCTTTTCTTCGTTTTTGCGTTTCTTGCCATGGCGTTATTAGTTTCTAGTCGATTTCTAAGTTTTTAATGTCCCTTTGGTATTTTTCGTTTCTCATTTTCTTTTTATATACTCCTTACAAAATTCCATGTCACAAATGCTCAATGAGCCATCTTTTATTTGCCTGTTGTTTCTTTTGAAGAATAAGGAGCCATCCGTAAAAACCATGATTGTAATAAACTTAATTTAAAGTTTTTACACTGACGAAAATAAGTTATATTCAGTTATAATAAAAAGAAAATTTAGCTGAGTCTCAATTTCATGCTTATTTGATGATAATTCTTATATTGTATGTTAATTCCTTTCATTGGTTAGTGTTATGGAAATTTAAAAACTCCTACAACCCCCTTCATAACGTCACGAGTATGAAACTAGTCACATGGGAAATACATTGTAGATTGCCGAATGTTTTGCAGATTCCATTTCATTGAAATTATAAGTTATCAACTTAAGGATAATTATGCCCCGCTCCAAAGGAGGAGGTATATAATGTTTTACCCCCGTCAGTCTGCGGGTATGTCTGTCTGTCGAATGAAAATTCTATTACAATTAAATACAAATCACAAAACTGAATTTGTTTTTTGCTTTCAGGCGTCAAGTGAGCAAGCTATACTGTATGACGCGTTTTCAAATTCATCGCTTATCAGCTTCCTTTTCGCCGAATACTTATATATTCGTACACATCAAGGTCATGTATGAAATTGGGGTAGAATTTTGTTCGTCGAACTACTAATCGGAATTTCTGAAATTTGGGTATCAACCTTCGTGTGAGCATGCATGGGAAAGTTAACACATAAATGACCTCAATAATAATAATATTAATTCCAAGGTCCGCCAAGCATAATTTTTTTTTTACATGAAATAAAGTCTCTGATTTAATGTTTTTAAATGTCATTGCCACCATAAAGGGAACAGTATACATGTTGACGGAACTATATTTTTTTGCAAAATTTTCGCAAATACTATAATGAACTACATGTACATCAGATAACGAAACTAACATGGTTTATTATGTGTAGTTAACAATACCATCAATGCTTTACATCAGTTTACAGAACCAGCATTATCAACATCAGTGCACAGAACATCCTTTTGGTTAACAAAACCAAATGTTAAATCAGTTAATAGAACCAGAATGCTTAATATCAGTTTGGTATTAGCTACGTTGGATTTTATGGTACACAAGAGTCACACTGAATATCCCAGTGTTCAAATAAGCAACACTGAAGAATTCTATATTTACTTCATGGGTAATTTTTTTTCTTTTTTCAGGTTGCACAGCCAGTGCCTTCAACCATGATAGTGACTACGGCCCAACCAAGACCATCGAACTGGATAATTCCTGCTGTCTTGGCATGTATTTGTTGCTTCTGGCCAACAGGAATATGCGCTATAGTAGCTGCAAGTAATGTAAGTATTGCCTGCAAAACTGATAATACATATTTTAGCGTTGATTGCACGGTTAGTATATACAACTAATATACATAGTTTATGATGATAATCATAAAGCTACATTCAGGTATTATTCTGTATTAGATATGTAATTGATAAGTTTAGTGGAAACATATGTCATTTTTTATTATTATGATCATCTGCTTTCGTTCAAAAAACGGGCATGATCAATTATCAACTTTGTTTCTTCAAATCCTGCTAGGAAAGAAATTGATTCCATCTTTCAACCCCCACACCTTTACATGGTACATGTATGTAAGGATCGCACTTTTATTTTATTTTTGAATCAAACACTGGGATTCGACAAAATTCGAACAATGATTCTAAAACTTTGTCTTTCTCTTTTTATTTAAGTGGTGAAATGATAAAATTTGTATCTGAAGTTAAAGCTGTATTCAACATTTAAAAAGAGCTAATTTGTTGGTTAAATGCATAAAACTCATTGAATTTGAAATAGTGTCCATCTTGCATTAGGTACACATTTGATTATGGTACAGTGAATGACAGCGGGTGGGCGATTTCTGGATAGTCCACACAAGTTTTAAGTAAACGCATCCTTGTAATTTTCGACCAGAGCCTTCACATTTTCTAGAACATTAGTATGATCATTACATTTTGTTCATATATACTTTTCTTTGCAAATTCTGTAGATGGTTGACCTTATTCAATTTCTGTATCTTTCTCCTTAAAAACCATTAAATTGAATTAACTCGAAACGAATGTTTGCTTTCTACCGGTTTCGAAAAAAATATGTTTTGCTATGGAAACAAATTCTCCTTGTTATTATCAACGAGTCTTTAATCTATTATAGTATTTTTATGCACCTCCCTCAATGTCCCGTTTTGGAGAATTTTGGCTGATTCTCTAGATAGTTGACTTTTATCAATTTTCAGCATTTTGAAGGTACTCATTTTATATATTCAATTCATCATACAATGTTTCCAACCTAAAAGCTTAAAGGGTATGATTCTTGGCGGAATTTCTTCAAACAGATTTCAAGTCAAAGCAAGCATTGTTTTTCATTTTTTTAAACATTGCAGATTTTCATCTAACTTTATGTAAATATTTCTCCATTTCGACAGATATTCATTTGACCAGGATACTCCTTTGTTCAAGAATTTTATGTTTTAGCTTTATCTTCCCGATGAATGTAGGTAGTTTTTCTTGGTTCTGCTTCTTTTGCAGAAATGAGTAACTATCACTCTTCTTTTGATAGTGTTCTAATCGATTCTATCTTCAGCATTAAATTATCATAAAAGAGGGACGAAAGATACCAGAGGGACAGTCAAAATCACAGATCGAAAACAAACTGACAACGTCATGGCAAAAAAAAAGACAAACAGACAAATAATAGTACAGATGACTTGACATAGAAAACTAAAGACTAAGCAACACGAACCCCACCAAAAACTGGGGGTAATCTCAGGTGCTCCGGAAGGGTAAGCAGATCCTGCTCCACATGTGGCACCCGTCGTGTTGCTTATGTTATTTCAAATCCGGTAAATAGTCTAATTTGGTAGGTCACATTCGTGAAAAGGGAAGGGTATTGTAGTTACGACATAAGGAACATATCCGATACCATCTGTGAAACGGTTATTCCATAACGGTCAACCAACTCGTGATGGCGTCCGTAAAATTTACGAAGGTATGATTTCAACTTCACCATTTGGAACTCTTGGTTTAATAGCTTCCTTGTGAGCAGCAATCCTCTATCAAGGAAATCATGATAGGAAATACAAGCCCGGGAATTTTGTATCTATTGGGAGATATATACTCCGTAACTAGGTGCTGCTGGAATGTTGCTACATAGAAATCAAAAGTTCACAATTGGGAAGCTGAAATCATCTCTTTTGTCGTAAAGTTTTGTTTTCAACCGACCCTCATTGTCAATTTCTAGATGTAAGTCAAGATATGATGCAGACTTAACTGTATCTGTAGTATCATTTATCTCTAGTTCGATGGGATAGATTCGTTCAACGTAGTCACCAAATTTTGTTTTATTAAGTGAGAGAACATCATCTTTATAGCGAAACGTAAAGTTAAAGGATATGTTAACTTCTTATCTTTCTTCCTAAGAAGTTCCTGTATGAAGTCAGCCTCATAATGATAAAGAAACAAGTCGGCAAGAAGAGGGGCACAATTGGTTCCCATTGGAATTCCGACAGTCTTTTGAAAAACACGTCCTCCAAACGTAACAAATATGTTGTCAATCAAGAAATCAAGCATCTTGATAATGTCAGTTTCAGAGAATTTTTTGTTTGAATCAAAGTGATTCGTTATAAAGTAGGATTTATCACTCCCCAAGACAAGATACTTGTATCTACGTTCGCCATTCTTTTTAATGAAACAAAGTAATAAACTGTAAGCATTACCATTGGCATTGCCTTTCAAATTACAACTTGACAATTTGAGAAATTCACCCTTTAAAAAAGTGAAGGTAATTAAATTTGGAATGATACGACTCAATTTTGCTTTTGTGCGATATAAAATAGTTATCCAATGAAGTATACAACAAAAGAACGTGAGCGTTATAGACCAGTATAGAAAATTTGTAACACTTACCAAAGTTTTGTTTTACTCTATTCCATGGAATTAGATTGTATCGGTCACAATGTTCTTTCCATTAAGGGTATTGCAATGTAAGATGCATAATCACGGGATAATTAATGTAGTTTAACCAGAGTAATACGACGGGTGTCACCATGGAGGAACTCCTGTACGTTCAGGAGCACCTGAATTTAGCATTAGTTGTTTACCCTTCTAATACACATACTCAATTGACAGATCAACTAAATAGTCTCATTAAACAGAGCTTTTCTTCAAGAATGGTAATCGTAGACGTAAAATCTCGTTCTGTTGAAGCAAAATCTGATTCTAACAACAAATGAACCAAAGATGACATCATCCGCAACCTATGTGTTGAGGTTGGTGATTCATATTTCAACACACGGTATTCCACTTGGTACTAATTGTAGGCCGGAACGGACCGACTTGTTTTTGTACTCATACGTAACAGAATTGAAAAAGGAGTTTCTCAAAAATAAAAAAAAAAAAGATTTTTGCAAATTTCTTCTATTTCACCGTCAGATATTTTCATGACGTCCTGTCACTCAATTACCCGCAATACAGTGGGTTCTTGTATCTCATACATCTCAGTGAACTTGAGATTAAGGATGATACCAAAAACAAGAAAGTCTGCTTCCAACCTGTATGCATGTTCACAATAAACATACATCATTAATATGGGTGTGCTCCTTTCACATATAATGATCCCACATAGTTGGAAGAACGATTGAAATTGACACCATCACGAATTGGTTAACTGATTCTATTCGTCTGTGTCTCAACTAGGGACATGTTTTCGGGAATATAAATTTTCAGATATATATGAATAGTCGTCTGATTAGGAAATTAACCCATTTTGTGTCTTATTGTGAAATTTGTACTTAGTGTGGATTCCATTTTTGGCAATATCCTTTTATTGTGGCTCGGTACATATACATCCCACCATTGTGTTATTGTGCTTTGGTGATTTTTTTTGTATTCCTGTCTTTCATGTTTGCTTATGTGCTTTGTCTATATGCTATATTGTTTTTCTTTGTTGACATATTTGTTTGTTTTTATAGTGATTAAGATTATAACACAATGTTGACTGCTGTACCCCTATTTTTGACATTTTTTTTTACACATTGTTGTCAATATATTGGCATTTTATGCGACTGTCATACAAGTGAGAGGTTTAACAAGCTATAAAACCAGGTTTAATTCATCATTTTCTTCATAAGGAAACGCCTGTACCAAATCAGGAATATGACAGTTGGTTTCCATTTGTTTGATGTGTTTGAGCTTATGATTTTGCCATTTGATAAGGGACTTTCCGTTTTGAATTTTCCTTGGAGTTCGGTATTTTTGTATTTTTACTTTTTTTTGTTGCAAGGCAGATGATGCGTGCACATCAGTAGACGCTTACCCTGTCGACGGATCCTGTCTCGCCTCTTTTGGAGTTGATGCGATTTCCTCAGTTTGGTTGCTTGTTACAATGATATTTATCTTCTTCTTTATGCATTTTTTTTTTTAATTTGAGCATTAGAAAACTACTATATATATGCACTGATTGATATTTTAGTCTAAGATACATGATTTTTTTATTAGTTGTTAATGGCTTTGAACTAGTTGACGGTAACTGCGAGTACTCTCAGGTCTTCTCTTTTTGTTGTGGGGATGAATAAATACCTTGCTACTTCCGGTCTGTTTTTTGGTTACTTGTTTTTCTGCTTTGTATCGATCTGGGTCAATATCCCTAATGCGCCTCAAAGTGAGAAACACAAAAGTTGTGCGTAAACAAAAAATCTATTTGTATTGATATTGGACAATTTTTAACAAGTGACTGAGGTTAACCATTTGTGCTGATTTGGAGAGTAAACGACCATGATAGAATAAATGTTTAAAACCTATGGACTCATTCAATGTATGTAAAAAACTAAATTTCAAAGAACTTATTGTGAGAAAATGGGATTTTTTTTTTTACCTCGAGGAGCCCATCACGAAATGATTTTCTGTGCGTGCTAATTTACTGAGAAATGAATCTCAGTTCTAACCCCGAACATTTAACCACATATGTGAACATGTCTCAGTTTTGAAACGAGCCATCATACATAAGTTTGTGCACCTACTATTATGGAGGTGTTTGAGGATTTTTGCTCATTTTTCCCAGACTTGGGAATTAAGTTTTAGTCATTTTCCCGTAAAATTATGAAAGAGGGTACACATTTTGTGTAATCATCTCCTCCTACAGTTTAAAATCAAGATCCCTAAAACTTCTGCACATACTCAACTTCGTACTTTATATGGACCTTTTAACATTTTTCGAATCGAGCGTCACTGATGAATCTTTTGAAGTCAAAACGGGCGTATGGTGTACAGAATTTTAATTCGGGTATCTATGATCATTTTTTTTTTTTAATTTTTATTATTTCCCATTTTTTTTTCTTTTATTAATATGTTTTCTTTTTCTTTTTCTCAATTATCTATCCTTTTTCTTGTTAATTGTGTAAGGCTTTTCTTTTTTTTTCAGACTGTACAAATACCTCGTTTTACTATTTCTTTAATATATATCTACTGAACTGTGCATGCTCTGTATAATTGTTATTGTAATATTTTGTAAAGGATTCTTTCCTTCCGAAGTTGATTAACTTTGTGTCCGATCCCATTTGTATTTTTGAGCAAATAAAATTGTTATAAACTAAAACTATGATAAGTTTATTCACCGGACAATTGCACATATGTTGCAGTTATGCATCTCTTATTTTGGAATTGTTTGGGGAATTTTTTCTCTTTTTTCAGACTTGGGAACTTTTTCAAATATTTAAATGTAAAGTATAACTTGGTCATTTGAGTCTTTGATCTACTTTTACAAAATGATTTGAATGCTATAACAAATGTTTACGAGATCAAATACATGGTATCTTATGTTACACCGTCATCAAAAAGCAATCTGTAAACCTGGTCATTTAAGTCTTTGATTTACTTTTACAAAATGATTTGAACGCTTTAACAAATATCTACAAGTTCAAATACTTATGTTACATCGTCCTCAAAAAGCGGTACATGATGTGCCGTGGTCTGAAATGTCAAGTTTATTAGAATATTCAGCTTTTGTAGACATTGAGAACAAGTTATCGACAATTGATTTTAGGAGCCTTTGAAAATAATAGTACATAACGCCATTCCTGAGAGAAACATTATTATAAATAACATTTTGTTTGTTTACACATTTAATTTCGTTTGAATGTACATTGTTTAGTTTTGTAAAAACGGTATCTTCTCTCGCTTTTTTTCAAAATTATTTAACAAAATTTGGTAAATATGCTAGTTGTTAGCCACCTTAATTGTATCACGATTGGGACAATTATATAAAGCTCGCTCACAGTAACTTAGTTGTTCAACTGGATTTTATGTTTTTATGGGGTTTTATAGAAGACTTTTAAAACATATGAAATTACGTTTTAACAGTTATTTGAGAAAACAAAAACCAAGATGTTGTTGTTTATTTTTCACGATCATTTTCGCGATCTTCTAAAAGCGGTGTATGAGCTTTCACTACCTAAAATGTCAAATGATGTTGGAGATATACGTAATTACACCATCGTATGTCTATTCCCTATTAAAGGTAAACAGCATTAAGTCATGTATGTCCATTATGTTGAAACTTTTTCGCAGAGACTGATCATAATATTGTTTTTTGGTAGAAAATTTTTTTTTTTGCAATATGCATTATTCTATTCATTAAGATTGATATTTGATTTGATACTGATCATACATATATATCTTCTCGATGAATATTCTTTAACGATCCATTTGAAATACTTGATCATCTTTATGAATTCTTTTACGTTTAGTGGTCTCAGAAGTCCTAACCTAGTGACCGATGACATTTGAATTCACCTTAAAACGGTACCAGTTTTACTACACAATATACGATTTGACTATGAATCAGTGATAATCTAAGATAGAATATTGAATGACTACAATCTAATAGGAACGTACAAAAAGTTGATTAATTCGAAAATGACCAAAAGTAATGCAAAACTGGAACAATGAATCAGCGCTATGTATGAAGGAAAAAAAATCCTTTATTTAAATTGATGAGTTGTACGACTGCAAATTTCAATAAAATAGTATTGAAAACTGCTGTTCTTTTATCGTTTAGTACACCTATTTATTAATTTCCCGCTTAAAGCACAAATTGTAAGAAATTGACAAAGTATATGTTTCATATTTAATTGTAGAAGTTATAGAAAATGTACAATGAAAGATGTTTCATTTTTGTTTTATTTACTCTTCAGTCAAATAGTGCAGCTGATAGAGGAAACATGCAGAGTGCTGAGCAGTCAGCCAGGACAGCCAGGAATTTGACAATACTTACTGTTGTCCTTGGTGTAATTTGTGTCGTCATTATTATCGTGTTAAAGAGAAGGGAGTATTCACCTTCAACCTATCTATACCATAAATAAGAAGCAAAGTACTTGAATCCAAGTTTTTATTACTTTACATACATCGATGCATGTAATGTTGCCTTTTCGTAACATTTAATCTCGTACACTGTTATGACACCTTTTTATACATTTTATATGTATGAGGTTTCTATTGACAAGTTTTCATGACACTATATTGTATCATATTGTTGTACAATACATTATCAAAACATAAATTGATGCAATTGCTATAGCCGAATAAAGTTTTATAAACTTTTGTATTTTGGTATATTTGATATTATGGTCCTATATAAATTAATATATTATCTGGTATTCAAACAACATAAAGTATGTCGAACTTTAAATGAAATCATTTACCCTGTTTGAATGAATAGTAAGTTTGTCGAAAACCAAAACGTGTGCAAGCTATTGAAAACATAAATTTTGCAAGATGAAAACGGTACCCTACTTTCTAGAATCGTTTTGTTTCTTTCAAAATCATACCGTTTCCAAAAGCAAGTGAAAATATATATTATTGTCTAGCTGGAATTTGCTTTGAAATTCGTAGTGTTTGCCCGTTCTTTCAAGCTTCTCGGCTATAAAGGATAGTCTGGGGGTCTTCATTTCTGTATTCTTTAAGTTGTTTGGCCATTTTCTGTAGTCTTTATTTTCGACATTTATTTTTCTGTTCTTTATATTTGAACAATCCATTTTTCTCTTTAAAATTGAGGCAATTTTTCTCTAAACTTTTGTATTTGAGGACTTAACCTCTCTGTTCTTTATACCTACTGCCCATTCTGTAAATCTAGGCCCTCATAAATAATACTTTAAATAAATATTGAAAAAAAAGCAGTCGAGTCAGTTTTCCTCTTTCAATTGAAATTGAAATGAATTTACCAGACTGAGTACTAAGAAATGCATGCATCTTCCACCATGCAAATCAGATACATTTTAAATATCACAATAGAGAAAATGACATGTTTGTGCTCCTTGTGTTCCTTTGATTAAATTTCACACAGGCTAAAAAATGATGCCATTTTAGATCAATAGTGCATGCTATACCTCCACACATTTTTTTTAGGCAAACAGTCTTATTTAAACTATGATTTTAAATTTTTAATCATATTGACGTATTCGATGTTGAATAAATTGAATTGCGTGGTTTAAATAAATGCAATAAGACTACTAAGTATTATAAAAGTCAGAAATAGGACAGGTATTTTTCATTCGATCTGTTGGTGGAGCATTTGAATTTGTCAGGTGTGGTGGACTTCCCCCTTTTTGAATATACCTTGAAGTTTGGCATTTTTATTATAACTTTTTTTATGTCTCTTTGGGCCAAATTACAATATCAGTCAGTGTCCCCTCATAACTCATGAATCACAGTCCCCATAAGTTATAACGATTTATTTGAAAAAAAACTATGAAATTATAAAGTTTTATGTAACTTACAATTGTTCTTCTTATGTGCTGCTTGTTAATGAATATTTGGACAATCTGTGTTACGCAACATGACCTTATATATAATATCAAACCGGCATAAATAGAGTGCAAGTGGAAAATTTGAAGGAAATCCTGATGCATTATGCAAGTGAACTACTGTATCATGTATAAATAATGCATGCAACCTTGGTTCTGGTAATACCTCTTTTATCTCTGCATTCCGTGCAATACTTTTCCCATCATTTGGCGTCTGTCGTCGTCGTCATCATCCGTCGTCCGTTAACTTTTAGAAAACTCTTCTCTGAAACTATTTGTCCAAACGTTTCTACTATCATCTTTGTAGCTAGTTAAAAAATGTATCCGATGACCTTGCCTGCCAACCAACATGGCCGACATAGATAAAAATAAAATTTTTGAGTAAAATGCAAGTTTTGTCTATTATCTTGAAAACTGCTATAAAAAGAGAAAATCAGAAGTCAGAATTGTTCAAAACGTTGAGATCTACATACTGTCCATTTACATTAAAACTGTCAGACGACTTCTAATAGGAGGTATTGCCCTTAAATGACCAATTTTTCCAATTTTTGTTAGGTTTTGTCAATTATCATTAAAACTATAATAGATAGATATAAACTTTAAATAACAGACAATATCAGCAAGACAAGATGTATAAATCAGTCAAATTAAAAAAATTGTCAGACGACTCTTTATTTTAGAATCGCTCTCTACTGACAATTTTTATCCCTTTTTGCGTTTTTGCCTTAGTTCTTAAAACTATCATAGATAGATTGAAACTTTAAATAGCAAAATGATCAGCAAGTCAAGATCTGCAAATAAGTTTTTGGCCGAAATTGTCAGTTGTCTTCTTATTGGGGTTGATTTTTAAAGGCGATTTTTACAATTGTTTTTGTGTTTTCGGCTATTATCATAAAAACTAGAATAGATAGCTAGACACTTTGATACCAAAAATGATCAATAAGTCAAGATCTTCAAATAAGTCAAACATTGGCGAAATCGTCAGTCGACTCCTTATTGGAGTTCATGTTCTAAAATGACGATTGTTATCATTTTTTTACGCGTTTGCCTATTTCATGTATTATCTTGTAAACGATTAAAGGTGAATAGACACTGCAAATAACCAAAACAAATTGGCAAGACATGATCTATAAATAAGTAAGATTTTGCAAAAAACATTAGTTTACACTTTATAGGAATGATTACCTTTAAATGACGATGTTTAACCCATGTGGGGTTATGGGGCAAACACAATCTTTACCTATTATTATTTACTTTCATTTAATCTCGTCCTCAAATGAATGAGAATATTTATGTAAACGATAAAAGATCAATCAATCATTCAATGAGTCAATCAAAAAACAGATGGAAGATATGTGCATATGGTGTATGAAGCTCACAACTGCACTCGGACTAGGTAAGTTGTCAATGAACTCAAGGGAGAATGCGTAAGACATTTCATTAATTCTTCCTTCTCAAAATTCCAAAACAACATACAATAAAAGACATCAACTACCGATGTTCTTGACTTTATAACAACACATGCAAACTAGTTTTTGAAATCTCAACATTCCCATATTCAATCTCGATCAGTGGGATGAAAAAGTTCATAAAAGACGTACAGTGATATACAGTTTATGAAAATTAACGACCGCATAATAAAATTCCAGGCTTATAATTTGGTACATCAGACGCACGTTTCGTCCTCTTACGACTTATCAGTGGCGCTTTAATCGACACAGTTGGATGGCACAATCAGATACGGAGCATTAAAACCCGAAAATTCCAAATAACAAAAATTGGGCCAAATACGTACGTCTAAGGCAATCGATACCTCGATGTAGAAAATCTTTAGTATTTCAAATAATTCAACTTTTTATCAACATTAAATACAGTATAACAGATATAAAAAAAGGTACAAGCAAATCAACAATGACAAATACAATTCATATGACTAGTCAGACGTTTAGAACAGTTCCAAATGATATAATCTTAGAGTAGTGATTTCATCACCTACATTTTAAACTAGCTTAATCATAAGACCTACAATTAGATTTGGACACTTTGAATTAAAGTTTTCAATTCAACTTTTCAAAGATTTTAAATTATTTCTCTTTTGAAACCACAAGGAACGAGTTTAGTTGTGTGTTAAAATGTATGACATCTTAATTTACTATGTTAATATCATACAGTAAATTCCATTGTATTCTTGACCTTTTCAGGTTAATAAAAATAATGTTAGATAATTTGTAGAAATACTCTAAAAATGCTAAAAACCCATATGTTTCAACAACTTGACATAAAACAATTCTTCAAATTATATATGATGTTTACAAGATTTTAAGATCAAATGTCCATTTTTTAGGTATAGAAATATAAAATGTTTTCGCATTGATTGAAAATAATGTCCCTCGGTATTTGTGTACGAGCTTTGGAAAATATAACCAAAGTGAGGTTCGTCTAGCTTTCCTCTTGTGTCATAGTGAATAAGAATCAATGTATGTTTTAGACTATTTGCATATTTGTTTTTATCCTGCAATTTATTTTTGATGCTTTACGTTGTTTGTTTTTTTTTTTTTTTTTGGTCTTTGATTTTCATAGGAATCGACATTGGTTAATGGCATACCGCCAACAGGATTCCAAAATGAACAGTCAAATTATCTTCCGCTCAATATAGAAACAGGATAACAAAAGACTTATATATACAAGTACAAGTACAAATAAAGCAAACTATTGTTGTTGTATTCATGTTATTTGAACTTGAGTTGGCTGATTGTAGGACAAAACAATATTGAGTGTAACTATATTGATATCAAAACATTGTTTTGATAATTACGATTTCCTTGGTTTTATTTCCTGCCTTAAAGAGTGTCACAGAAATTTCTGAACATGTTCATGTTAATATAGAACCTCAACAATTCGACTATTTACATGAAATTGATCATATAACACTTTCAATAATTGTATGTAACTTATTTAATATATATATATTTGTTATTTAAAGCAGATTCACCGGGCCATTTACCAATCAACTTTATTACCCATGGCCAGCTACTGATACGGCTAAAAGAATAATATAACCGCCGATACCGCAACAAATTGTCACGAGAATAAGGATTCTAGCTATGTTTGATGACTTTCTTGCCTCATCGTATTTCATTTCACTAGCTTGACTTTGAGACTGTAAAATATAAAGGAAAGTTGATAAGTTGTTAATAACAACTGTTTTACAAGAAATGATTACAAAAGTAAAGTCAGAAGACTACGTGTGTTTCCATTTCATCATTTTGTGATAATCTAATGATAACTTTGTTAAACCGTTGTTGGCTTGAAGGGTTCTAAATTGATAATTTTGATGTTTACACATTCGAGTTCATTCAATAATATGTATTTTGTTGGATATGAGAGACATGTTCCATATTAACTTGTACCACACAAATAATAAACACATTGGACCTTTGTGAAATTATGACTCACACATGACAAGGGATATGTTCTACTAGTAGTAGGCACAACCTTGTCCTCTTGATTAATTTTGGCTATAATCGAGCGCAGCTTATCATCGGATTTTGACTGCAACAAGTAACATGACAGACAAAACTAGTGGAATGAAAATTTGTTTGAAGCACCTAAATTCCGCATCGTTTTTGGTTTCTGAAACTTCGTTTTCAGGTTTCTCTGTGTAATGTTTTGTATTCTGTTTATTTTTCGTTATATTCCTATGATTGTCTAATTCAAATGATTGTTTTTTATTACCTCGTTGGTATATTGTTTTTCATTTTGTTTAAGTGAATATGAAATTGACTTTTCTTTCAAAAGGCCTTCTCTGTCATGTCGTTCATTCTTAAGTTTATGTTGAATTTTGTTGTTCCCTTTCATCCTTTTTCGTTTGTCCATTATGATGCTCGTTTTTCGTCAACTTAGGATGTTGAATATCGTCTTATTTGTTTACTTGATAATAGTTGTTTTATTTTAAGTTAACATGACTTATTTATTACCATAGATGCCGCAACGATAGCTCCAATACCAGTAATCCAGCAACAAAACAGACAGGTCAAAATTGCTGGTGTCATGTAGCTGTACGGGGCAGGATTTATAATGAGTGTTGGTCCTGCTTGTGGCTGGCACACCTGTAAAATGAAATATTCATGATCCTAATTAATCACTGAGGCAGTTATTTGGCTGCTTTTAAGAGTCAAATATATTTCAATATAGTCGTGTTTTAAATTTTATTATTTGACATAGATATTAATGCGAGAAAAATAATGTATTCAAATTAAAGCATTATCACAAGTTTCAAAGTATCAATGCATTCAAATTACATGACTATCAAAAGTTCCAAAACACTGCTTACCACTACATTCGTATTTGTGGTGTTCATTATTGTTGGCGGCATCTGGGATTGCTGAGTATACCCATAGCCACTGGAAATGTCACTGAATCCTTCTTTAGACGGCTGTGCTTGAACGAAACCCTGTGGGTTCTGTTGAACAAATTGATGAATATATTGTTGCCCTGGTTGTTGCCCTTGTTGTTGATTCGATGGAGAATATGGAGGAGGTTGTTCAGAAGAGCTAGCCATACTTTCAGCTGATATTGGAATTCCTGTGGTTGGTTTAAAAAATTAAGTATTAATTTTGAGATATAACATTCACAAAGGTACATAACTAAGGTAAGGTTAGTTCACAAAACCGAATATTCAACTTCACTAGCAAATTAAAACAAAATTCTTAATATGTATTAACTGATTGTGTAGCATGACCTTTTGAATTTATTTGGAACTTTGAATTGATAGCTTTAAAAGCTTTAATTTAACTAATTTTATCAAAATAGGCTTCCGTTTAACTTTTCCATATACGGAAAATATACAAAGCAGTCAGTTATACAAGTAAACAAGAAACCACATGTTCACGAACCTCACACAATCGACCCCTAAACAGAGTTCGCTTTGTTATTGCATTGAGACCAAACTAGAGACAAGTGTGTTTAAATATCATTTCTTCAATAATAAGATACAAACCATGGTAGCAAACACAAACTGACTGACATGAATTATTCTACATAAACAAGTTAGTATGTACGACAGAACAAAATATAAGTTATAGTAATGATTAGTAAAACAATGTAAGACTTAATGAAGTATACTTTTAAACAGGTTCAAACACCTCTAGTAATATTTGCTGAATGGTTTTTTTTATTGATCTCTTAGCTCAGTGCTCGATGTGAAAATATGTTCATCCATACAGCCCACAAAACCAAACCTATTCCACCTTAAACATGGGATACATTTACGGATTGATTTAGTGACTGCTTGTTGTGTGCTTACTTAATGTACAGCAAAAAACATTTCATGCATTTTAAGAGAACCAATTGACAAAAATAAAGATTCTGTAAACATGAAATTAGGGGCAACAGTAGTTTACTAATGTTCAAAGCAATATCAGTACGTCCGCTTACTAAAAAGTAAAATAACAAAAATACCGAACTCCAAGGAAAATTCAAAACGGAAAGTCCCTTATCAAATGACAAAATCAAAAGCTCAAACACATCAAAACAAATGGAAAACAACTGTCATATTCATGACTCGGTACAGACATTTCCTTATGTAGAAAATGGTGAATTAAACCTGGTTGTATAGCTAGCTAAACCTCTCACTTGTATGACATTCGCATAAAATTCTATATTATTGACAACAATGTATGAACAAAACATACAGACAATAATCTAGAATTGTGTGAATTCTATCAGTTACGGCTGATGTCGTGCAGTAATAAAGAATAACCAACATGGTTCATGAAAAAATACTGCTTGAAATATTAAACCAAAAATATCAAAATCACTGGTGAACTTTGCTATCAATTGCATGCTTAGAAGTTTCAGCTTATACAGCAATAATAGTATGATTAACATAATAGAATTTATCAATCAGGACATTGTGTCAATTTATAATTATTAGTTTTGTTATTACTAGTTTTATTGATACATAGTATTCGCTTTCACTTTGTTAGAAACGCTTTTCTTGGTAAAATTTCACTACAAACATTAAAGGCCAACACTGATCATTTATAATTTGAACTGAAAGTCAAATAATATATATTTTCAAGAAACAAAAATAGTGTTAAATAATACGGAGTAGAACCATAATTCATGAACGTGTTATAGATTTTCTATATATTAAGTGCTTATCAAACTTTAAGGTTGAACGATACCCGAGGTACACTGTCATAAGTTTTACTGTCGCCATCACGGCTTGGTTGACTGTTATGTAATATCCGTGTCATAGAAGACCATGAATATGTTCTATTTGTTGTTACCACAATCCTTTCTTTATTTTCCCCGAGTTGTGTTTGATCAATTGATTTTTACCTACATAGACAACAAGACGGAAAGCAACGTTGACCTAAGAATGGTTTTGCTATTCTGTTTTATATCCCTTTTGTTCACATTAGATTTTCAGTATTTAAACATACCAAGCTACACAGGGAAAATTTCACTCACATTAATTTCACGTGAATTTAAATTCATGTGAATCTCACGTGAAATTTACGTGAATCTCACGTGAAATTTACGTGAATTTCACCTCAAACGAGCTTATACGTGAAACTCACGTGAAAATCACATGAATTTTTTTTCACGTGAAATTCACTTGAATTTAAAATAACGTAATTTAACCAACATCTAAATTTTCGAATTTCATCAAAATCACGAAAAATACCAATTTTTTTGTAAAGTTCATGTGAAATTCATGTGAAAATTTCATGTGAGATTCATGTAAATCTCAATTCACTTGAAATTCACATGAAAATGATCACGTGAGATAAAGACATATTACATTTTAGAACCGTTCCAGAAACAGGGCATGCCAAATTGTGTGTAACAAATTTTTAAAGAAATTGCATTCAAACATTTTGAAAACTATTTGTAAATATTATCATTATGCAATCTGTATTTTGAATAAAACATTGGAAGATTCATATATAAAGTGTTAGTGCCACCATTAAGATAATAAATAAAAGTCTTATTTCGGAAAAACTTAATTCTTAATCAATTTACATTTTTAAGATTAGTTGTCGAAGAAATAAATAATGTTATAAAACTTTACCTATGCATTTTTTCTATTTGATAAAATATTAAAAACTTCACTTAAACAGAAAAATCTGATTTGAATTACATTTGATAGAATCTTAAAAACATAACTATAGTGACCGATTACTGTTTCCATAATTGAATACAATTGCAATATCCCTTCGTAAGCTGTATTTTTTATCTATTCATTAGTTCGAACTGACAACTGTGCAGTATGGCATTCTTACAAATACATGTTTGCAATAGGGCAAAAAACAAGAGCTTTTTTACCGATTTGCGTGTGTTTGGTTTTAGGTTTCAGAGTTTTCCTATGCAGCTCGTAAAGAGAGGCAACATTCAGAATAAATGTTGTATCATATTCTTATCGTCTAAACAAAATGCGTAATGTTGATGCGAGGTGATGCGACGAAAATTCTAAGATTGTGTGGCCTCCATTTTTGTTAGTTTTAGTTGTTCAAAGTGAAATTCGTCGGACAAAGCGGCATAAATCAAATCTATATTGGCTCAAACTGTATGTGTGTTACTACTATGGATGTTGTTCTTTTATTCCAGGTACCGAATATAAAATCGTATGATACGAAAATGAAAATTAAATGCCTTTCTGACATTTCTGATATTCAAAATTTGTGTAAAGGAACAGAGTGATACATTTTAAATACTCGTTTGGTATTTTGACGCAGAATGCTATCTTTTAACAACAATTTCATATTGTTCTGGTGATTGTGTTTAAAACCTACTAAGCACCGATATTTGATCTCAATGTATTTAGTGTCGATTTCAAGTGATCGTCCTTAAAACTCTGTTGGAACAGTTTGTATGTAAGCACCATACTCTTGCCTATAAAATCCATATAGCAACAACATGCACGAGCTAACGTATCATATTAGGTATATAAATGCCATGCAAAGAAACAGAGGGTATGTTACTGCTCGGAATTTTGAAGTTGACAATTTGAACGTTGAAACTATTACGTTCCTCATTAATTATAGTTTGAAGGCTTTCATCTCTGTCAAATGCTATATCAAGAAACGATCGGAAGCATACATTTTAGTTGCTATAGTATCCTTTAACCTCAAGGTCACTGGGATATAAGAGATAGATGCATTCACTGAAACGCGGGTTATTAAGTGATAAGATTCCATCAATATATATCAAAGTCAAGTTAAAGAACTTTGCTAGATTGTTTTCTTTCTTTTTGTCTTTAAGAAGATTTTGACTGAATTCTAATTGAATAATGAGAACACAAATAAGTCGGCTAGTACTGGTTCACAATAAGTACCCATTGAAATATCATTCCACCAAACTCAACAAATATATTTCCCGTACAACTATTGTTAAGGAAATTACTAGCCATATACGCATTAATAAAGTATCAGATGAAACGGAAGAATTAGACAGTGTTCTTACAATGAACGAGAAAATCTAGATAATTATGATAACAATAAATGTATTAATTATTAGAATATAACAACACTAATGCATTATTTTATGCACTATGTCATTATGTAAAAAGTTAAACATCCGTTAAATGCAGTTTCTACAACAAAATAGAATACAATACTCTGATAAATACCTTTTTAATCGAACTGGTTATTGTTGTACCTTAATTTTCCGTCCAAAATCACAAATTCACTTCAAAATTCTGTGCTAAACAAAACAAATCTTATAATATCTTATTGCACAACAAAGCTTTGTAACACATATAGAATCACATTATTCATTATACATCATAGTTAGATCTTCAGCAGAACCGTTACCAGAAGCAGACGAAGGCTATCGATTGGCATAAATTAAAGCAATGAAAAAGACTGTCATTAATTTTAATGTATTAATTTGACATTAATATCTATCACTTTTAGATTAGAACTTGTGTCTAATGTTTTCTAAATGACTTACTAGATTTTGCGTTGTTAAAACTACAAAATGGAAGATATGTTGTTATAGATATACTGTTAAAGTGTGACATGATTTACTACTTTTGTTATGAACTGGTATGATAACAGCATAATCATCCTGAAATTTTGTTATGAAGACACCTTAACATTTAAAAAAATGTGTTCAGTAGATTTAAGTCATAATCTCCAATAAACATTTCCTTTCATAATGATTTTTCCAAATATATTTGGAGATATAATGTTTCCAAGCTTATGAGAGTTTCTGTTTTTTAATATGCCTCATCACTGTTTTGACCTGTCCTCGTAGAAAAAAAATCGATATTTAAACACTGACGTCATTATCCGCAAAATCAGTGTAAGGGAGAGCTTATGAGTAAACACTGTCTTTAACAGAAACAGACGACGTCTGTCAATTGGCTTAAATTACAACAGTACAAAGACAGCTACATCTGTCTTATTTAAGATAATATAGTAGATAAATGTAGTGTAAAAGTGTGCAGTATGATATCGGATATCGATTTTCATTGATGTCTTATATAACAAATATCTACGGCACTTAACTTCTTGAAAAATCTTCAATAATCATGATTTTTTTGCAATTTAAAACAATATCTAAGATAGGCTTTATCAAGATGGCCTAGACCACGGATGGGATATGTCACTGAGATAATCTTGCTGGCCATATTCAAATTCTGATTGGCTTGTAATAAACTGTATTTCTAGATATGTTTCATATACTTTAACAGCAAGTTAAATAGTTGTTAATAAAGTGGCTGGCGATTCCAAGGTGGTAAACCCCTTTAAGTTGACGTAAAACAGGAAACTCAAAGACAAATAAGGGTAAAAATCTTTCCACAAAATAATAAACTAAAGATTGAGAAAAACCAGCCCATCAAAAATTGGGAATTAAATTAGGTTCTCCGGAAGAAGTCTTGATTAAGACTTCTCAAGGAAGGGACGGAACGATCATACTCGGATTCTAACATATCGTTCTTAAAAAACGATGGTTGTTTTTTGTTAACAACATAATTGCTTCGTTTTCGTGGATGTGATTTGCAACAGACAGTGTAATGTTATAGGAACTAACTACGCTCTTTTCCGCGCCTACTTATTTTTGCATACCTTTCAGGAAGATTTCAGACAGGGCGTGTAAAAAAATAAATGAAAAGAAAGCTTTGCCTTTAAGTTTAAATTCAAGTATAACTCTGATATCCACTCACTGAATAATTAAAAGTTTGAAGACTACAATATATATTGTTGTTTGGATCCACCCTAGTAAAAATGAAATAAAAAATATCACATTTGAAGTCATATATACCTATTATAGGTAAAGATTACCGATAAAAGAGATAACATAAATGTTACCGTTATTAACATTATGTGAGATGGTATGATTGCCAATGAGACCACAATTCACCATAGACCATATGCGATAAATGTAAACATCTAGGGATCACTTCAAGGCCTTCAACAACGACCACAACCCTTACCAAATAGTAAATTGTAAAAGGACACAGGGTTAAACATGTTTGGCAGCTCTCATCCTAGGACAGTTGTATAATAGCAAACTGTAAAAATCAGTTGGGAACTTTTAATTCTAATATAAGACATTCCATATAAGTATTGTCCAGTTGGTACGATATTCCTGAATATGTGTTTTCTATCATGGTGTCCTCGATAAATTCTAATGTTGATCTTTCTGTTCGAAGTTTTTTTCATACTGCATTATGATTTGGTTGACTGCAATCGTAGCAAAAACGCAATCCTGCTATAGTCGGTATGAGGTCACCGAATGTGATTACCTAATTTTAATATGTCATGACGAACAAACCCATTACCACTAGTGGATCAAGGCTTGGCTAATTTTTCAGCGAATCTGTATTTATCCATGCTTTTTTGTGATATCAGTGTTTCTAATTTTTCTTTTTTATCTGTGTAGTGTTTTTTTGTTTTCAATTCATAGTTTTTTCTTCGATCTAAGTGTTGTTTGTCTTTCATGGACTGATGGGTTCTGTGTTGCTATCATTGTATCTTTCCTTTTTTTCTGTCATCGGAATAATATTATCATTAAAGGCAATAACTTTAAACATCAACTAATTTTACTTTGAAAAAAAAAAATCCCTCAAATTTTTTCTCTATTTATAATACATATTTTTCATAAACATATTTAAATAATCAAAACACAAAACTATATTTTCAATCAACTAACAATTATAACATTTTCGATTAAAGTTAAAATGAGGTTTATGAACGGGGATTATGCTTGAATCAAGCATGAACATCCTAAGAAAAACAAAAATAATCCGTGGAAATATTCTTGATAAAATGGGCAAACCTGTAATTTGTTTAACAAAAACTCATATAGTCTATAATGTCACTCAATAACCCACACATTTTAATGCCTACCTCTTGTTTATACCAGTGAAAGTGACAAGCAAAAATAAAAGAAAATACAAACCTTTTCTTTATCTAGAAGTCTACAGGTTTTTCAGTGTCCTTATTCATTGACATGTTTCATATTCAATATTTATTGACAAAAAAGGGGGACACATAGTCCCCAAATTTTAAAAGTTGAGGGGTAACTGGCCTAAGGAATTTACTTAGAATTTAAAAGTGCGACTTCAGTAACTAAAATTAGGCCTGCATGTTCATGAAAAAGTATAACAAAAATACCGAACTACACTCCAAGGTAAATTTAAAAATGACAATAATTGAGACCAAACATCATAGACAAAAAACACAAATAACTAAAAAATAAAAAAAATATATAAATAAATCTAACAAAGACTCAAAAAAACGTTTCTGTAGTTGATTGTTAGTTTAACAAAGACGCCAACAAAAAAGTTTAACTTTTTTAATGATATTTTCATCAATATACATGTACATGTATGGTTTTAAATAAAACATTTTTCAATTTTCATGGTGCCATATTTGTAAAAGATGCATTTTAAATGAGTTAAAGGAGGATATATTTGTTTTGACTACGATGCTCAACATTAACACAATTACAGATTTTCAGACAGCAATTCGCTGAACCTGATGCCAAATTAATGAATAGTAAAGAGAATGAGTAATAGTGTGAATGTTAATATGTCAAAACATTAAATACTACAGGGGAAATGAATTTCATATTTTTAGAGGTAGGACATAAGATCGATATTTAAATATTCATAAAGTACAAATAAGTGAAATACATTGTTTTGAGGGACAACAACATCTATACAGAAGGTGAAAAGATATTGAATCATTTTTATTTCTTATTAATTTCCGTTTAAATAATTAAATGAATAAAAGATGATGTGCCATATTCAGAGTGGGATAGCAATCAAACGATTCAAAACGCCCCAAACTTCTGTCATCATTTATCTTCCACAGAAGCCCATTAAATAAGAAAACATGGACAAAGTCTCTCTGCATTAAGGGTACGACTTCATCACCGCGAAAAAGATTCCAAAATGAAGAAAGACTTAAACAGAACATTGACATTACTATTCAAACAACACAGAGAAAGGATAACAGAAGACTTTTTTGTACAAGAATAAATAAAGCAAACATTAATTTGTTTTCTTGTTATTTGTACAATAATAGTTGACTCATAAAAAAGCGAACATCAATTTGTTTACTTGTTATTTGTACAATAATAGTTGACTGATTGCAGGATACACCTATACTTTTTGCTTGGGTTCCTGCCCAGAGGGGTGTCACAGAAATTGCTTAACAAGTGCATGTCAATGCGGAAAACTCAACAATTTGACTATTTACATAATATTAATAAAAGAATACTTTACATTTTTCTTTATAACTTATTTAACATAAATATCGTTATTTGATAGTTAAAGCAGAATAACTGGGCGAGATGATATTTAACTTTACTGCCCAGCTGCTGACACAGCTACAAATATAATAACACCGGCAATACCGCAACAAAAGGTCACGAGGATAAGGATTCTAGCTATGTTAGCTGACCTTCTTGCCTCGTCGTACTTCATTTCACTGGACTGACTTTGAGACTGAAAATTAAAAAAACGAGTTGTTTGATATTTGATAACAACCATAATTATAATACATGACAGAGTTACAATAGGGAGAATGCGTTTGTTTCAAATTCCTTATTTTTTGATAACTTAACTTCATCTTTGTTAAAATATCAGTGGTTCGTGGGGTTTAGATTTGTAGTTTTAATGTTAACAAATTGGATCTTTATGAGGTCAATGGCATATATGTATTTTGTTGGGTAAATTATTGTTTGGTGTGAGAGAAATACATGGTCTCTAATACTTTATACCACAGGAACAATAATACTTCACAGGATCACAAAAAATGGATATGTTCAACTTGTAGAAGCTACAGTCCTTTCCTGCAGTTTCCGTTTTTTGACAGAATCCATTGCAATTTATCGTATTATTTTTAATTTTTAATTTTGTAAATGAGTAGCTTGGTAGACACAACTTATGAATAAGGTACTTGTTACCATCAATGAGCACCTATGATTTCCAAAGTTATGAGTTCTAGTTGCTCAATCTTAAGTTTTCTAAGAAGTGTTTTCTGAACTGTTTATTCGTTCAATTCCTTTGCCTAGGGTTTTGTCTGTCCTTCCATTTACGGTTTTTGATTGCATGCTATGCATGTTGGTCCTCTCTTATTTTTAAGAGAATATGAAATTAATTTTCCTTTCAAAAGACATTCTTTGTGGAGGGTGCATGTTACCATATCTTAAATTAATGATTAATTGTTTTGTTATGGTCGTTGATTTAGGATTTGAATTGTCACCTTAATGTCGTCTTATTTGTTGACTTGATAAAACACTTATTCCAAATTACAAAATGTATTTGATATTAAGTTTAAAATGACTTTATACGTTACCATTGATGCCGCAATGATAGCTGCAATACCAGTACACCAGCAACAAAACAGACAGGTCAAAATTGCTGGTGTCATATAGCTGTACGGAGCTGGATTAATAATTAGTGTTGGTCCAGCTTGTGCCTGGCACACCTGTAAAATGATGATGAAAGTAAACTTGATTATTCACCGATGAATAGCATTTCCCATGCTTTTCATTTTCAACCTTTCAAATATATGTATCAGTATAGTACGGTGCCATGCGTATGAAATTTGAAACACGTTCTTAAATGTTAAACATGATATTTTATTTTTGTTATTAGAAATCTGTGCAGGAGCATGGTCGTAAATAATATATTTGTGGAAGATTCTTTTACATTTTGGAATCTTTAATTTATACATAATAATACAGAAAAATAAATACATTCAAATTAAGCATTGACAAAGTTTAATCAATTGCTCTCATTGCATCTTTCTAGTATTTAAAACAGTGCTTACCACTACATTAGTAGTTGTGGTGTTCATTATTGGTGGCGGCACCTGGGATTGCTGCATATACCCATAGCCATGGGTAATGTCACTGAATCCTTCTTTTGAAGGATGTGCTTGAACGAAACCATGTGGGTTCTGTTGAACAAATTGATTAACATATTGTTGCCCTTGTTGTTCCAATAGAGGTTGATTTGATGGATAATATGGCGGAGGTGGTTCAGAAAAGCTCGCCATGCTTTCAGTTCTATTGGATGTCCTGTAATGATTAATCTGAGATGTAATAGAGATAATAGTACAAAATAAAGGTAGGGTTATTTCGCCAAACAAAATATTCAAAATTCAAAACCAAATTATTTGTTCAGGTTTTTCATATCTACAAATGCTTCAACGAGATTGGTCCGGTAGAGTATGAAGGGGAACTATTTGGTAAGGCTTTCATTTGTGGAATTATACCATACAAATATTTGCTTCAATGGACCATGTTGCCGAAACGTCTGTCTTAACCTTTTTGATCTATTTATACGCGATACATATTGGTCAATATCCCTTATGCGCCTCAAAGTGAGGTACACAACTATAAATAGAAATAAAAAAACCTGTATGCAATGGTGTTGGACATGATGCCACTTTTAGTAATTTATTGAACTAAACCATGTATGCTTCTTAGAGGAGCAGAAGACTGTAAAATAAATAAATCTAACATAAACAGCAGTAGTTTTCCTTTTCTAGAGGTAGACATTTCAATTTTTAAAGGGAAACTTCATACTAAAATTTACGACAAAAGAGACGATTTTTCATTCCCTATTGTTAATTTTCCCTTTAGACGGCGATGTTCCTTTGGCTCTATCATACGGTGTTTATACATCCCAATTCGTTCGTTATGCCCGTGTGTGTAGTAATGTAATAGATTTCAACGAACGTAAGCAATGCATCACTGGTAAATTATTAAGTCAGGTATTTCGTTACAATAAATTGCTAAAAAACTTTTACTAAATTCTTTCATAGATACAAAGATTTAATTAGTAAATTTGGCTGTACCTATAGAAAACTTAATAAAATCGGTGTTTCACATCCTAAATTTTACGGTAATATTGTACTAAAAGCGCGGAAATCACTATGGGATCCGTGTAAACTCATCGAACCTTTAAACAAACTTATAAGTAAAGGTTATCTTACCAATGTTGTAATAAGATCTTTGAATATACTTTACATTGGCACAAATATCGATTTTGTCATCAGCAAATTAAAACATAACTAAATTTTTATTCTTTTCAAACGTTTTTTGTGATGTATAAAAACACATCCACGTTCATTTTCTATATGATAGAGATTACTCTATCTATATATTACATTATACATATTTATTATCAGGTTAACTCCTAACTATTCTACTGCCTGTCGATACTTTTATTTTGGCATTGCACAAGTCATGTCTTCTTTGGCTTTCCATGACGTTAAAACACTAAATCCTTGGGATGTGTTTTAGTTGATTTTAGTTTCTGATGCATGATTTTTTATCATTAATTGTTTTTAACAAACTTTCAGTAACTGTGAGTACTCTCAAATCGTACTTTCGTGTTAATATGACCTGTTGATACAATTTTTAATGTATTTTTGTTATTTAATGTTTACTTATTCAGTGTTATATCTAGTCTCACTATTTTTAATATATACCACCTTTGATAAGTGTTTAGTATGACGACAAATTTTCACTTTTGTTCTCGTACTAGGAACAACAAAATTATTTATTTTGTACAAATTATTTCCGTACTCCATGTTTACCTTACAACAAAATTATTTTTGTTTACCTGTGTACGTTATTTTATTTAGCGGCATTTTGTCCAAGGTTATGGTTGTCTTTTTGATATTGTTTTACATCTAACCCCCTTATTTTATTAATTTTGTATTAACATTGTGTCATAGAAACAAATCTATTCGTTCAGTGTGTGTTCACTTATTTTTGTAAATATGTCTATTGATTGAGTTAATCCATTTCAATTGATATTTTATAGTGTGTCTTTCTATGTTGTGGGTTACACTACTGTTTCAGGTAGGGTGAAGGTTGGCGCCTATTAAAACGTTTAAACCCGCTGTATTTGCTTGCACCTGTCCTAAGTTAGGAACCTGATGTTCAGTGGTTGTCGTTTGTTGATGTGGTTCATAAGTGTTTCTCGTTTCTCGTTTTTTATATAGATTAGACCGTTGGTTTTCCTGTTCGAATGGTTTTACACCAGTCATTTTTGGGGCCCTTTATAGCTTGCTGTTCGGTGTGAGCCAAGGCTCCGTGTTGAAGGCCGTATTTTGACCTACCATGGTTTATTGTTACTAATTGTGACTTGGATGGAGAGTTGTCTCATTAGCACTCATACCACATCTTCTTATATCTATGTAAAAATTTTTGAGTTATTAAATGTTTGTTCAGAACTAAATTTCCAGAGAATATAACTGTGTGAAAATAAAACTTTTCACTTGCCGAAGCGGCATCACGTGGGACCTTTCGGCTTTGTCCAATTTGTGAAAAATTTAATTTCACTTCGTTCCCCGAAAATTGAACCACATCAGTCTGTGAAAATATCTCAGATTCGAAACGACCCATCATACATATATAGTTTATGAACAGAGGAATGACAGAAAAGGCAACCATTGCCGCCTATGTGAAATGAATTTCGCATCTTTAACACAGCTGTTATTCCTGTTCTAATGCATTCAAAAAGAAATAACGTAATATTTGATTTTTTTAAAATTATAATGAAATAAATTCTTCGAAATTTCTTGAAATATCTTGACGCATTAACGTCATGGCAGAACTTGGCGCATTTTTGAGATAGGTGTTGTTTCATTTTCGATTCAATTGTATAAATCGAACATTTATGGATTTCAGCACGTTAATATGGCGGTTTATTCCTTGGTTAAGACATAGTAATTGTGGATTTGTCGATAAATATCAGCCCATGGCAAAATAAAACGTTTATCAAAAATTGCAAATGTTTGGGATAATGATTATAAGAATTCATGTGTTATTCCATCAGTTGATATACATATAGCATTTTCCTTTTATTATAGGATTAAACACATTTTTTTATAGAGGTTATCAATGTGTTAAATGGGCGGCTGACTCACAAACTTAACATAAAAGTCCTTAGGATTTTTATTCAGTATGTGAGTTAATCACCCCAGTTTGCACATCAATAACCTCTAGCAAAACGTGTTCTATTTTATAATAAAAAGGAAAAATTCTAAATACATATTAACTGATGGATTATCACATGACAATTCAAATCAGTGAAAGTGCTATTTATGGAGAAAATGTGCTGAAACCAAGGCACATTGCTTTATATCTTCAATTTTATAAAATCGATCAAAAGTATCTTTGATTTGAACTTTCCATACACGAAAAAAAATATACAAAGCATTCAGGTATGCAGGTAAACAAAATCCACGCTTATTGATGGACCTCAAGCTTAAGAATAGAAACAATAAAGTAATCAGTCCTCTATTGTTTTGATACTGAAACAGAATTGTTTTACATAGGAACGTTCAGTATGTTCGATTAATTGTTGCTGGTTTAACGTCCAGTGGAAAATATTTCATGCATACTCAGGATAACCAATTGACAAAGATACCGATTCTGTTACTAATAAGGCAGTAATTCGGCTTACTTATCATTTGAAATTTTAAAGCACTGATCAATTGTTAAAGTAGTTCTTCCTCAATTCACATCTTAAGAGAAATTTTGTCGATAAAGGATAGCAACGGTTTACACAAATTTAATTCAATTGCATTATACTTTCGTGCATTTTATTTGCTATCAAGTGCTAACTTCCAACAACTGTGGAATTCGGTAAAGTTTGAAAGACATTTTACATTCGAGTTATAAACCAAAAAATTAACGGATTGAACAAAACCGTTTTTGTTTTTGTAAATAAGGTCATACATTTCAAAGTAAAACGTATCTTATTTATCTAAGTTTTTGTTTCAATTACTTTTTTTTTATTTAACCGGGGATATTGCCATCGATACAATGTACAGCTTGTAGTTTTTAACAAAAGGCCCAAACTATCGGTTTCTCCAATCCACTCAACTGAACTTCTGATTACTGATAAATTCGAGATAAAGTTGAGGACTATGATAAGTGCAAGTCAGACAAAAAATTTATCGGACATTTTATCTCAATGGATCACAGCTGTGTTTGCATTCAAACATGCACTTGAATCAAAATATCATTTATAAGTATCGTGCGTCCGAAGTGCTTGTCTGAATTTACATTCATTAGGAACTCTCAAACCCGAACATTTAAAAGCCAGCTGATATAACCAAAAGGAACTTAAACGATAACCAAGTTCAACAAGGATAACAACTTCGCCTTCGGGAGTTGGAGTAGAAACTACGATGTACCATAAACATACGGGTTTCTAACCCTTTGAAGAAATCTGAGATGATTTACACTTAAGGGTCTACTTATGAATACAGTCGAGTCATTTTTTTTTTTAATTTCAGTCCAGGTTAATGTACCAGTAAACTAAACAATCTTATGATTCAAACAATCTTTGTAAGTGTTTATCAAGAACAGATTACACCAAGTAAATTAAATTGTCAAACCATTCTATAATATTTGTATAACTGGCATTTGTCGATGCAAAGGAGGAGAACACTAACTGCATCCTTAAAGTGTATTGTAAAACATTAATTTGTTAATTGTACAATGTCGTATGTAATAATTGATTACATGGAATACAAAAGAATCTAGAAGGATGTTATTGGCAGACTTAAGTCTTTAGTTCAGTGGTGTCGTTGGTTTATATTTGTCAAATTTGTTTTTCGTAAATTGTTTTGTTATAAATTAGGTCGTTAGTTTTCTCAAATGTATTATTTGACATTGTTCATTGTCAGGGCCATTTTTAGCCGACTATACGGAATGGGTTTTCTCATTGGTAAAGGCCGTAGAGTTGCCTATAATTATTTACATAAACTGTATTTGAATGTTGGTGAATACTTGTCTCATTGGCAATCATATCACATCTCCTTATTTCTAAATTAACAACGTAACAGTTAAACACTACTGGATACGTCCCTATATCTAAGTACCTAGGTTGAATATATTTGACGTCATATACCTGCCTGTTGTTTGGGAGAATTTAATTTTTAAAGTGCGTACAAAATACATTTGTAAATAAACACAAAAAGGATATATGTTTGTAAGATCTTATGTGCTAATGCGAGAACAACCTACACGGTCTTTACTATTTATTTTTCATTTTCTGCAAATCCGGCAAATTTGTTTCTTTAGTATTATGAATTAGGAATGGATAGTTCACCAATGGGATGCTAAAGTTATCACTTCTGTCGTTAAGTAATGTTCCCAATTAACATTAGTTGCAAAGTATAAGAGGTAAGTCACGACATGAGGCATACTTAACTGCATGTGGTATCCTTTTTCTTGACTTCGATTGGATAGATGCGTTTATAGTCAAACTTTGTTTAGCATGTTTAGTGAAACGACATCATCTATTTAGCGGAACGTGAAGTTGACGGACAACGATAGCTTCTTTTTATTCTTCCTTTGGAGCTTCTGTGTGAAGTCTGCGTCGTATAAATAAAGGAACAATTTTGCAATAAGAAGACCAACGTTGGTGCTCATAGCAATGCAGATTATTTGTTGAAAAACAACGTCCTTCAGACGTAACAAATATGTTGTCATTAATCATTAAGCATCTTGATTGTGTCAGTCTCAGCAAAGCACAAGGTTCATTTTGGTAAAATATGGCATTGAAACAAATTTATCCATAATGTTCTGTATCCAAGTCCATTTTTTTCATTAACTATTTTGAAAATGATTCCCTGTTTCCCTTATATGGTTATTTCATTTTTAAAGATTTCAGGTGCATAACCATTCTGTAGTATTTTCTCCGTATATATTTTTTATACAATTTCAATACGATATTGAAATATCTTTTAGAAAAGTCATCAGAATGCATCTTTTTTACTAAATTTGTGATGGTATGACAGTATAGGTTGAACTTAACTGAATAGAAAGTTGCCGCTATAGGGATACACATAAGATAAAGAAGGAGGGTTGGTATGATTACCAATGATGCAACTATCAACTAGGATTCAAATGGCTATACGCAATTATTGTCACCGTATAGCCTTTAACAATGAAAATTTTTCATATATGATCTTTCATCATACGAAAGATAAACATTTACATTGATTCGAATAACGAAAAGAACGTTAAAGGTTTAAAAAAAGGTATAAAGGCATTTTACATGGGAGGTGTATTGCAATATGAACAATACATTGACAAGATATTTTGCAGGATGAAAATTATGAAAATCAATAAAAAATCTTTTAGATTCACAACATTTGTTAAATTTAGTATTTTCTTTTAATTTCATTGGGTCTTGTTTTAAATAAAAACGATTCTTGCCTTGTAGTTTAAGCAAATCATACTACAAAAAAAAATCGCCATTTAAGGGTGATTTTTTCTCTGCACTAGTTGAAAAAATATATTTGAACTTATTGATACACCATGAAAAAGCAAAGGGTTTTTAACATGTTGTAAGCAAGAAATCGGCCTTAAGAAATTAAAAGTGCATTAAGCAGAGATAATCAAATATCTTAGAATAACATCATATTTCCCCATGTGAATAAAAAGACATGCATACACAAACGAGATAACGGCACAACAATACACTGTTCAAATCATGATTCACCCTACAAGTACTTATGCTAAATTCAAAATAATATGCATATATTAATGCAGATAATAGTGCCTGTTGTTTTATTTTACGCATCATGGATTTGTTACCATTATTTGCTTAAACATTAAATTTCTGTAATTAATAAGTGTTTTGAAGACTTTTGCTTTTGGTAACGTAATAATTTCTTTTGGTCTTTTTTTTTTTTTTTTTTTTTTTTTATTTGTCAACTCTAAATTTGTTCATAATTTTTTACCTGAATTTGATTTGAAATGTCAGATGAAAAATGTACCTTTGTACATTATTTATATTTTAACATGCACTCTGCCAATAATGATTCTGCTCCATGTACACTAACTGTTAGGGAGGGATTACTTGCAACATGCCAGATGTCAGGAAAATAATAATAATGTAAACAAAGAAACGGAAGATTTTTTGGGGGAAATGCTCATACAATTTCCAAAAAAAACCCGAATACAATGTACAAGTGATAATAAGGACGATACATTATCTGAAATGTTACACAAATACAATACAATTTTGCACCATAAATCATGTTAAACAACTGGGAATGGCGGTTCTACAACAAAACAAGATTTCATAATTTGTTAATTACCTTTTACTCTAGTTTTTATTGCTGTATCTATATTTTCCCTCCAAAATCAAACTTCCGATTTAAAATTTAATAATCCACAGAAGGCCATTATTATATATTTGACTACAAAGCTTTGTAATACACATATGATCACACTGTACATCACAAACAGAACTTCAGCAGAACCGTTAACAAAAGCGGACGATGTCTATCGATTGGCATAAATTAAAGGAATCAAAAGGCAGCTGTCATCAATGTAAATGTATTAATACGCCATTTACATCTATAAACTTCACATTTGAACTTGTGGCTAATGTTTTCTAAATGACCTACTATATTTTGCGTTCTTAAGACGATCAGTTGTCATAGTTGAAATAAACATTGTTATAGAAATACAATAATAGCTTGACATGATTAACTAATCACGTGAGGGTTGAATTGGATTGATAATAGCGTAATAAGACTGCATATTGCAGTTTCTCTGAACTCGATGAAGACACACTAACACGTAATCGGTGTTGACAAAGAAAAAAAAGTAATTTATCAAATATAAAAAAATCATCTGCAATATACACTTAATAACTTCATGATGGTTTCAAATCAATGCAGAAGATACAAGGTTATGGTAATTTGGAGAGAAAATGGCCATTTCCGTGTTTTGGGTTTTTTGTTTTTTGTTTTGTTTTTTTGTTTTTTGTTTTTTGTTGTTTTTTGTTTTCATTTTTCAATATCCATTAACACGATTGTAACATGTTCGTTGAAATTCTTTCACCTAACCTTCTACTTAATAAAAGAGGGTCAATATAACTGTTATCACCTGTTCTTGTCTTAAACAAATCCACTATTCAACCATGATTCCATTATCAGTACCGTTAGGGTGAATGACAATAAAACTTTATATATTTGCTCCATCCGAAGAGTTTTTCTGAATTTTACCCTCATCTGCGTATGGGGGAAATTATAAGGAAACATTGCTGTTAATGTCGGAAAAATTTGGATAGATTAAAGCATTAACACACAGCTACGTGTAGTCTAAGATAGGAATAGATAATTCGAGTGAAATAGTGGTTTAGATAAAAGGAAACTATTGACATATATTTAAATTTCGGTGTGCTGGATATGTGTTTCTAGAATACAGTTTTAAGAAGCAGCAATATAATATGCATTTTGAAAACTTAGTTGCTTTCAAAGCTTGAATTTATATATAAATTCGACATCAAAGCATTACTTCTTGAAAAATTTTCAATAACTATGTATTATGTTTTCAACTTGAAATTCTGAAAATAAGGTATGGGTTACTTTCGTAAATGTGACTGTACCAATATAAGATTTATGTGTGTGACCATCATTATCGAGTTTGGATCTACATATGCAATATTTTAAGAAAAAAAAACTTTAAAAATAGGTTTGAAGACGACTTAGGTCAAAACAAAGAAGCAGAATGCCGACTATAGTATCCTATTTATTGAATGTCAAAATCATTTTTATTTGATAGAATTTATTTGATTACTAAATTTTAGGGGCTAGTGTGTTTTCTTGTCTTACCCAGAAAACCAAAGAACAATTTGATTGTTCCTAAGTTAAATTATTAATCAATTAAATGTTTTGTTGTTAGAGTCAAACATAAGTTCACACAACAGAAACCGCACTCTTTAGCTTAAGACAGTGCACAGCGCGGACATGACAGCTTGTGTAAATATGACTTACTGAATCGTTTTGTGCAGACTTGTTAAATTAAAAAAGTATATTTAATGGTTGCCTAAACATCAGGATTCAAAAATTAAGATGATACTCTTTGGCACCAAACGTTCAGTTATGAAATATATTAGAGAGGGATTTTCAATTCTTAAATTCATTGCAATAAATTAAATATTTCATGAAAGCTTGTGCAGATATGATTTGCTGAATCGTTTTTTTGCAGGCTTGTTTTTTTCGGATTACTTATGAAATGGTTCTATGAAAATCAAAATTAATAGAATTAAGATGATACGATTTGGTTCCATGGTCATAATAAGAACACAGATATTATAGAAAGCACATCAGTTACTCCTGTTAATTGTCCACGAAACTTTAATTTTCAAGCATCTCTGTATTCTTATGGAATAATTAAACCATACTTGCAGAAATACATTGATTTTATTATTTACCGCATTTATCGAAGTGGCGATATAGAATTGTGCCAATTAAGATATTCATCCTTTTGCTCAACGTACTGACGAAGATTTTATGGCAAACAAACGCACAAAAGATAATATAATGTTGTTTTAAATTAAATACTTTGACGGATAGATAACGATTGGAACCAAGCGTATTGAGACACACAACAAAAAACCTACACTGTGTAACTACCAACAGGATTACCTCTTTCTTGACCTAGGACAAGTTACAGCACATATTATCGAAAGCAGGGTCAAAATGAGCTCTCTACTACAGGAGGCTAGCTAAGGTAGCTAGGACTATTAGTTGGAAACTGCTGCTCAAGAAAACAAAACAAATATAGAATGACACACCTAACATGAACTCTGATCTCAAAATTTACTTGAAGTCGGCAATTTTTGTAAGAGGTCGATAAGTATTTTAAAACTTGTCAGATCATCGAAAAAAAGAACCATTTTAAATAAAAAAGTTATTGTTGACATGTTGAGCAACAGAAATTAAAATTCACATCCTCATTTCCACCTTTATGTATATTGTCAAAAGTGTGGAAATGTGTTATTTTACACGGAAATCTGTATGATTCATGTAGATTACACCAACTCGGTCGTTACCGATACAAGTGTATTAGCTGTTGGATTTATGCAAACTATGTTCTGATGTTTAATGATTTATGCATTAAGTTCCTAAAACATTTGTTTCAAAACACGTATTTTACGCCCTCAAATTATTTTCATACGCTTAAATACAACCACTGTGTGGTAAAACTGTTGGTTAACTAAGAGTCCAAGAGCGTACAATATATGCCTTGTGGCCAGTGTTTGTATATTGTCATCATCTAAAAAATATTTTGTTACCGTTATATTTAGTTTATAAACTAAATAATTACAATTAAGTTAAAATTTCAATCTTTTAGAAGGGTAATCGTTGCACTTCATTTATTGATTTGTTCAATATTACACTCTTATGGAATACATTCCCTGAAAAAGTTCTTGTTTTTATCTCTTAAAAGAATTGATCACGAGCGTAATTGTTGAAGACACGATGCACACTATAATCGGTATAATACGTTTATAATACTATTCTGTCGGTTTCAACCTTTTAAACTCGATGTAAAAAATCAAGGTTTTCTTGAGAATGACCGAACGTAAACTAATGTATTTAATATCCCTGGTGTATGCAAATCGATTGTAGGTTTTAGGATGGTGTGTGGATTTTTCTGGGTAACGGGGGACATGTAACGACTAACTATGGATACTATTACGTAGCAGAGACCCTATCCGTAACTTCGGTACTTGGAATAATACTCTAACTATCTGTGAACTGTGCTCAGAGAAGATAGTTCCATTAATTTGTTGTTGTCAATTGGGTGATTTTGCGGACCTTTTTGTCACATTCCCTGCCTTAAGGTAGGGATATTGATAGACAGTACCTAATGTATGGATTGTATATTAATCCATTTTGTAGCTAATAAAGTCTATTGGAAGAATCAAAGGTTAAACTCATTGGCAAAATGGATAAACTACTAGCTCATAAACTGATGAAACAATAGAATAACTGTTATGATATAAATGTTGCATTTTAAATGCATTGAATGAATGTAAGCTAAATCAGGTGAGAAAATCAACATTTGATTGACTTCTATAGAAACCCATATATTCAGCGTTCTTTACAAAAAGACAAACACAAATAAAGTATGATATTTTAATATTTGAGAAACGTGGTAGTCTTTTGATATTCGCCCAGTATCATAATATGCATGAACATACGAAGATTAAATATAATACTGGCTCGGACGTCACCCAATATAAAAAGGTCCGAAACAGACGGCACCATAAACACGGTGTCGTCTGATACGGCAGGTGTCCTATCATCACCAGACATGACAAATATTTCAAATATGACACATTCAGATCATCATAATAATGATAACAGCAATAATTTTCGTACGCGACCGTGTTCAGTTCTTCTACCAGACATTTTGGATTTTAATGACTCTGAACAACACTGTCTCATTTCGAAATGTAAAAACGTAAAATTTTAATAACAGATGCTCAATTCACTAGTAATCTAACTAAAGAATCTGATTTTACACGAAGCTACGATGATCTGAATTGTAAATCAACAAATCTCGTCTACGGATCAAAGTGAAGCCTTTGTGGATTGGTATATGTCGATAGTGTTTATCAGCGTTTCATTCGGCCTGATCATTCAATCCTTTCTATGCAGGTTCGCATCATATATACCTCATTTTGCAACACCTCTCGGTAGACAAAAAGGAGATTACTGGTTTCGACAATTTGGAACTGCGACACCATATGGTTGCAATGACAAAATTGATGATATAGGTAATTTATCTAGTCCTTCCTGTAGCTCGGTGAGTGTGATGAACATTTTCAACTCTATTCCTCGACGTAGACGCAGTTATGGTCTCCGTCATTATACATCACCTACTCTCCATGATGTCTCTATTAATGACCTGCTGCCTTTTATACAAAAATCGTTATGTATTCATCACATTTGCACGAAGCTTTATTCATTACCCCTTTCAAAACTTCATTCTCTGCACAACTTATGTTTGGAAACACTGTTACAATCCCTAATTCAAACCAATACAAACTTCCAGCTATAATCTCGGATATTGCATGTCACAGACTTTTTCAACAAGTTCGCATTGGAAAAATGAAAAAGAGAAAAGATCCTTTCAAAAACTTTCCTTTGCCAACAAAGGTATCGATGCCTTCAATTTGGGCAATATCCTTCATCATAAATCAGTTCAATCGAAAATACCTCTCTATTTTAAAAATCAGTCTGTACCTATCATGTCTTATACCTATACTAATCCCATTGCAACTAAAATTTTCAATTACAAACACGTGTTGTACATTGTAAGATCTTAATATTGACGACTTCAAGTCTAAACCTCCTGATTGCACCTGTACTAGTTCCCCATTCATATATAATCCGGCTGGCCACGTTTTACTGGTAACCTGAACATTGTCAATAACACTTCTCTACGAAATGTGTTATTCAAAGGCCCGAAATATCGTGAGCCTAAATGCATCAATTGGAAACACAAACAAAAA